CTATAAATGTCATAGATAAGAATAAGAGCAATAACCATGCACTTTGAAGGCATTTGCGGTCTGAAAACAGAACTCAACTATCCCTTTAAAGTCAGGTCTATTGTAGCTTGAAAACACGTACATGTAGCTCCCTGTATTTCTTACAGAGAAACATTTTCTAGAACAAAAATCTATCATCCTTCTGAGCTACCCCAAATCTACATGCGTTGATATGAGACTGAGACAACATTGTGTGTCCCTAAAGGCTCGGCACAGGGAGGTCCTATGGGTATACACTGACTGATCGAGCTCTGGTTATGAGCTACAGAAATATGAACGATGTTGCCCAAATACGTCATAAAATAATTTTAGATATTAACACTGCCGTTTAATTACCACCTCATATCTTAAAAGCTTCGGGCTAATATTAATTCATATTACCGGTACTATGCATAGGATTTTGTTGTTGTATATGACCTTGATCCCTATAGCGGTACGTTTAGGATCATAGAAACGTTAATTAGCATTCACCTTGGGGAGTTTATACCTGTCTCATTATCACCTGTCCATTGCACTACACTATACTGCATCCACTTTAATAACTGTGTCAGAGTGCTCTATACCTATACCGCTCCTATGTGTGCAGCAGGATGAAGGAATGCATGTACAATTATACAGGCAACATGGTTGATGCAGGGATATGTGAGTTAAATGGATATTCCGTCTCGAAAAAATTTCCCGAGGGAAAGATATTCAAGATTAACTTGGCTTAACAACAAGTAATGTAACCCTCTTCAGCCATCAAATCCATCAACAGCCGCCCTTATCAGACCACAGATGCCCTCTGGCAATCCAAATGTTACGAAATGTTACGCAACACGGTCTGCTTCCCTAAGCTCTCCAAACACTTGGTCGTAAAAATAAGGCTTTGAAGCCATGCGAGTCACCGAGAAGATGACGTCATACTCATGGAAGATGTATATAGCTATAACATATAAAATACAAAAATCGACAACTTATGGCACAATACAACCTTCTATTGGTTATCAAATGCTTTCGCTGTGCTCGGATAACTCTACTGAAGACGTAGCCATCTGAACCAGCGAAATCGACCAAGGAAATCGTGAGTTAGAGTGAATGCAAGGTTCTCATCATCATCGTGTTCTCTTCTAATTATTGACATTTTCCGAAAGTTTCCGAAATTTTTACATAGCTAGGAAGGTAGTCCATAAGTTTATCTCTTAAAATAACTAAATGAAATTGTGTTGTATATTTGCGCATTTGGTTTAATGAGGGTTAGAAGTTGTCAATTCATCACCACTTTTCACCCCGAGTACGGGCAGGCGACGCGCAAGCCGCCGTGCTCGCTGGGCTGTACATGCTGCATGTTGTGGGAGGAAACACACATAGCTGCATTACTACCCTGGCCGTATATTAAAAATTGTGCTATTGATTCTCAACATTTCAAACACCACTGTACAAAACTCAACTGATTTCACTCAAAGTCAGTACTTTAGTGACGATTGATGACACCTAAAGAGCATTAAAATACAATTTGTTAAACTTTCCGATGTTAGAAAGAATAATTAAAAAATTAAAATCGTGAGTCTACTGTCAAACTTGCCGATCAACCACATCGGTATAATTATGTGCATATTTATGTCGTGAGTGTATTGACTATTCATGTATTCAAATGCTGCCTATTTACACGTACTGCAGTGCTAGTAGTCAATACGCATCAACTATCTATGTTTTGCTGGAGTGGCCTACGCATTCACGATGAAACCATTTAACCATACGTTCTGGTTTGCTGCAACGATTAAGATTTTCCGTTGATGGAATTTCACACGTGCATATTAAACTTGTGTTGGTCTCCAACTTCCCATAAATTAAATCTTCCTCAAAACCAGTCAGAAAGTCTAAATCGTCGCCTAGCAAATACTCATCCCTACTGTATGCCGCCATTTTTGTTGATAGCAGCCGATGTGTATTTCCAACAATGCATTTCGCGAGCCCTATGTCACTCGGTTTCGGGAGTGAGATTTACGAGCTGTGCGGTCCGGGAGGGGGATTAAGGGGATTATGATAGGGGAAAAAAAGACTCTCGGTGCCTCGCAGTGCTTCAAAGGGCCCTCTTAGATGGGGTATCCATTTAAACTCACATATCCCTGGTTGATGTAAGCCGTTTCAAACACATGAATATATGTACAGTTGGTATAATTATTCTCTGGCTGTCAGCCATAAATATAAAACCATCATAATGTTGATTACCGGTATGTTAACCTCTAGCTGTGCTAAAGACTAAAACTGTTTCTTTTTTCCAGGTCTCTTCTCGTATTAGCAACAATAAATACATTTAGGAAGAACATTAAGGGCTATAGCTACATGTACATGTAGCTTATATGGGACCTGAAGCCCCATTTCAAGTTATCATACATATACATACATGTAGATACACAAGCAAGGCTTTAATTTCCTGATTGGCTATCGCAGAAAGTCATCTCCTGGATGGTAGACTAACTACATTGTACATGAAGCGAGATATATGCATGCCCCCCCCGGCATAGAGCACTCCATGTACTTGTATTAAAGCGGAATGCAGCAGAGCAATAATGTGTTAGCGCATAATGATGCCATGTTTGAAGCGTACTACTGGTATGTGTGCAGTATGCATACATGTGCATGGCATGTGACGTCATCATCTTAAAGAGCTTGCTCAAGTTGATATGATGGTTGCTTACTAACAAGCATTTATGCTTTCTTAGCAGTCAGGTAAAAATACCACCACATGATGGAAGAGTGTCTAAATAAAGACTCTGGCTTCATACAATGTACCTCTCAGTATATTTTGATAAAAAATAATGATTTTTAGTAATTTGGTTTCTCTATTATGCAAGAGCTAAATCGCAATTTGGATATTATGAGATGAAAATAACACGACCATTTAATCCTTATTTCCATGTAAGATGAGGGTTATTTAGTTGTATTAAAGGGACTTGGTAAACATTGCATTGTTCAGATGAGAGAAAATGGTGTGAAAAAGGTAGTGACTTCAATGCTAGGTGTACAATTAAAGATATTCTGAAATTTTGAGTGAAAACAGACCATTATTAATGATAAAAATTGAGGAAAACTGATCTGATTGATTCCTTAATTCTCCCAACTATATTATTACAACTTAATTTCAATTTAGGTGAATGTAAATTGTCAAAAAGCAATCATGGATTGGCTCTATATTCCATTCCTGACATTTAAGTGTTGAAAGATTTTTAAAAGCCTGTCTTATGTCTTATTTTCAAGGGAAAACAGTTGAGAAAATTAAAAAATGGTTGGAAAATTTACTGTTTAAGGGTGTCGCACAGTGACGCCTTCCAAGAAAACCACAAATATCATTGTAGTTTGAGAATTTTCCAGGATTTTTAGCATGTTGAAGGGTTAATTGGTACAGTAGAAGGAATATAATAAGTAACATTTCCTTTAAAAATTACGCAGTTTTTCAATCAACCTCCAACAATGTAATACAGAGTCAATATAATAGTGCAATCACTATAGAAAGCATTCTATGTACATAGTTCTTTATGGGAACTTGAAGATATAGAAGATACATGTTGCAACCATGAAAATTGGGTACTTATTTAGCAACATGATTATACTGGGGATTCTGATTCAATGCATATTTTCTCAGTTTGACATGTTGCATTTGAGAGCTCTTGTGACCACAGAATTGTTCATTGAACATACTATACCCAAGCTCCTTCATATTTAGTTATTTTTCCAGGGGGATTCATCTTCCCTTCCTCTTATATCTTAGCTGACCTCTTTCATCCCTACGGGATAATAAACCTATTATTTATTGTAAATGCATTTAAAGAACACTGTAACTTGTGGTTAAAAATTGATTAGTGATTAGTCTTATATGAGCTTTTGAAAGATATTTAAACATTAAATGACATATTCATTATTTAGTTTGGTGTTATTATTGAAGAAAAAATGCCTATTTTTCTTTTGCAGTTTCTTCAAATTTCTAAGGGAGTGGGCCATGTTCTTATGATTGCCCCCACCCCAACTATATTTGATATGTCACCCAGAAATAACATTTTTGTCCAATCCATGATCTTAAACAACACTGTGTTTCTTTATTGGGAAAATGCTGTGTTTCAGAGAAATACAAGGGCAGAGAGAAATTTAGTGATTAAAAACTAGAAACGGAAATATTGACTTTAATGGTCCCTCTGCTCTGTAATATTTCCTGAAAACAGTGTATGTTGTATCACTTAGAGCCTTTAGAGGAGATACTATGGCTCCCATAATGGGCATGGACTACCTGTTTGGTTAGAATAGTATGCCATAAACCAGAAGTGCTTGGAGACACAGGAACCCTAAATGATGATAGCAAGTGAGTTCTTGGAGCTCATCTAAAGCCAAAAGGGAGCAAGCTTTGTCAATGCTCATATGATTAACAGATGGTATGGAACCTCAAACCATACTTAATGTCTATGATCATGAGTTGATTGGAATAATAATCACTCAGGATTCCATATGGTTTCTCAATTCAAGATAATGATTATATTTCTAAGTATTTAATAAATTGATTTTATAACGGAGGGGAGAAATAGATCATGATTTTGGTTGAAATGAAATTTGTCTGCCCCATGTACCACAGGTATAGACAAGTTGATTGTTACATATAGATACAGTGGAGTAAAAAAAAAAGATCCACTTCTCTCTTCACCAACAGGACATGAGAGAGAGAGAGAGAGAGGTGGAGAGGGAGGGAGGGAGGGACAGAGGGGAGGGGGGAGGCTATGAGAAACAAAAGAAACAAAGAGATGATATGAGAAGGGAAAAATCCCTACTGTTCAGGTACCCTCCCTCACTCTGTCACTCAATTCCCATCCATCCATAAAGAATGGTGGCCCATCAAACTAAACACATGCTTCATCACTGGATATACATACAATTGAAATGTGATTAGCACTACAATTTGAACCACTGATTTTGTTTTCTTTCTATGTTATTAGGAAGTCCGAGACCAATTCATTACTACCAAGAAGGAGAGAACAGTTCCCAAGTCATTTTCTCATAAACCAATTGCGGTAAGTACATCTTTCTGATCAAATTATGGCTTCTTAACAAACTATTAAACCATGTTGCAATTTGATTTGATGATGATACACGTTCAGTTCATACACACTGACAGATGCTTCATGAGCTTACATGTTTCATTACAAGATGACTGAGTCATTATCAAATGGGGATGAATTGTCTTACTTTAATCAACTTAGATTTCTAGATGACGTGTTTTCTTTTGATTAATGAATGATTTATTACTTTTGAAATTCGTAATTGCCAAATTTCAAAATGCAGTGTATGCCTTGTTCTTTGATTAAAGTAACAGAGGAAACTGTGGTCATTTAAAGATGAGTCCTTTGTGCAATATCCTGGTAGTTTTGGGGGAGTTTAGATTTTACTTCATAATTACTTTTGTTCAATTTTTTGATAGGTTTCTGTTTAGCTCACCACAGGATATATATATATATGACTATTAAACTACTATTACAGAGGTCAAGTCAATTGAAATTATATGTGATGTATAGAGTACAATGTTACTCAACTTTGCATCGCATATGATATGACTGACAACACATAACCAGAAAATATTTTTTGTGGGATTTCTTAGTCCCTGATTATATTAACTGAAAGAGTGTTAATCCTTGTAAGTCCTCTAGACCTCTTTGTTTGATCTAGTTTGTAATGAGCAAACACGACCTCTCTTGGTTGAGATTTCTGAGTTGTTTTGAGTTATGTATTTATCTTGAATACATGCTTTCATACATGTTCAATTCATCATTAGTTTCAGGTAGTTCATTGTAACCCATGATGGATCCATGGAGTACTGCAGAGCTTCAAGTATCATCAGAATCTGATGATTTTTAAATTCATTCTCAAATGTTTGACTAAGCATTACTGTGGTATTGAGTAGTCTTACCTATAGCAGTTCTTGTACTACTTAAAGGTAAAGACCAGTATTGGAAACGCCTCAATTTCAAAAAATGAAATGGAAGCTCTCATTACCAATCATGTGAAAGAATATGTTTTGACTAATACATGATGATAAAAAAATTTGCCGGGAAACCGCCTACTAATTCATATATTTGGTAAATTTGTTTCTCTCATGGTCTGTGAGAGATATAGGGTAGTCCCATATACATCTTTCTGTGTATAGTGCTTGTAACTTTACGAAGAATGGGCCAAATTTCTTATCATTTTGATGATTCCAGAACCTTGCAGATGCTAGATGCTAGATGATCAACCTTTTTCTGATCGATTCCACAACGTTTCTTTCACAATGCAATCGCATGACCATAACTGGTCTTTACCTTTAACTGATACATGAATTGAACAATGTTTTGTTCATGTATTCATCAAGTTTGGTATCACTTTTTCCCACTCCAGGCTGCATCACCCACCAAGGGCCTAGCCGCTGAGCCATCTCCTGCAGCCATCAGACGACTGAGTGCAGAGAAGAGATCCACTCTTCCTGGACATGCAGGATCACTAACACCAGGTGCATTTACACCAGATGGAGTAGTATCAGGGTTTAATGCACCTGGTGCTATAACACCAGGTGCTGAGAGTGACACCAGTATTGAAAGTGGAGCAAGGAGAGACTTTGCTTCAGCATTCCTTTTACCAAGTCCAGGCACTCCAACGGCTTCCTTCAACGGTTCCGTCCCAGGTAAGTCTGACATTCAAAAAGATGAGAGTCCAGTATGGCTTCCTTCTTGCCCCTCTGATACACAACTTATCAACTTAAAAAGTGAGGGTAATCAATATAAGCCGCTTCAATCATTTCAATTTTAGTCCCCACTCATGCTTATCTCCTTTCTAATGCGCATTTCTCTTTCCTCATCTTCTTCTCAACCCCTCATGCAGCTCATCCTTTTGTATTCTTTTCTGTACCCCGATCTCTCACTTCTTTTGGGGTATTGTCTACTTTTTGTATTGTGACCGTGTTATCCTATCTTTCTCATGTAAAGTACTGTCTTGTCCCGTTTCCGTCTCTGTAGGCATCCCCCTTTTTCTCTCCCTATTTTGTAGTTCCTTTTGTAGTTAAGAACTTGTTAATTTAATTATGTGTTAAAGTTTCATTTGAGGGGTCCACACTTGTACAAGCATTGCTTTTTAGTGGACCCCTCTATTTCCAATATGTATTCCTGAATTGTTGTAAATGTTTATAATTGATTTGTAATGTTTTGTTGGAAACATAAATAAATTGAATTGAATTGAATTGAAAACATTTTGTAGGATTTTAGCAGTTGTCATTTGTACCAAGTGTTATGACATAGGGTGGGGTAGTTGAATCATAGCGCAGTGAATATAAGACCTTTTCCTATCGTAATTTTCAGCAGATTCTCCCGATCTCTCACCGACATCAATCAGGAGTTCAATCAGTATTACATCCACAGATGACATCGGATCAGTAGGTGATCTCAAGGAACCATCACTATCACTTGTCAGAGAAAACAGTGAACATAGCATCAGTGATAAAGAGTAAGTCTCTCATCTATTGAGATATACAACCTGTGTACCACTAACTATCCTTTAGACAAATACCAAATGTCCACGTTCTTAACGTCATACACAATATCTACATGTTTGACCTAAAGTGCACCGATCGCTAAAGATATTTTTCTCTGTATGTTAAGGGTTCCACATACTACAGGGTATTCAAGGTATGAGCTCCAAATATTAAATGTCCTTGTAATTAACATAGAAAGTTTATTGTACACTTTCAATCAACATAAAAGCGGCTTGTGAGTGGCCTTTAGAACACACTTGCATTAGACTAAAGCCTGCATGGTGCACAGGGTTTTATGTTATCATTTATTTTCTACATACTTCTTAACCATTAAACTATAGAATGTTAATGGGAAAGTTTTTTACATTGATTTTATACATTCTAGCTGTGCACAAATTATAATTTCATAAATGTTTGTAAATCTGAAATCTGAAATGATTTCATCAAATTTTAAATCCTTAGAATCATTAGTACCTTGCTAATTTTGGAAGGTACATGTACCTCACACATATACATGTAGTTGGGGTTCTGATCTTCTTGGTTGACTAATTGCAAAATGTCAAATGAATCATTGATCTGACGTTCTTAATCACTGATCTGTCTGTTTTATGACCTTGATGTCTATGTCTCATAGGAGTAATGTGTTCTGATATTCCCTTAATGGTCGATCCCTATTCTGAACAGATACAGTTAACAACTACGTTATTCATACTCCTTGTAATTTGATGTTTTTATATTTCGTAACGCAAGAATGAAAGGTGAACTGGTTGGATTAAGGCCTTTTTTAATACTCTGAGATGTAAGCTTAAATGTGTCACATTCTCAAGAAATATAAATACAAATAGGCCATTTTCATAACCAAATTTAAGGTATGTTTTTTGTATTAAAATGGACTCAGTATGAATTAGGTCATTCACCTGCTACAAAAGATTGTATTTCAATAGTTAGAATGCAAATTGCCCATAATTATGTGTTGCTAGGTAGGGCAAGGCTTAATGTTTGTACCACCTACATGTATCCACAACAGGTGAATTCAATCATTTGTATGAGGCACTTTACAAACATGTATGCATTATATAAGGTTTGTTACAAAAATCATTACCTACATGTAATATTCATAATGTGATTGGGATTTTGACAAGTTATACATAACCTGCGTTAAAAGACAAAACAAAACAAAGCTAAACAAAATAAAACAAGACTAAACATTGTGTTGATCTAAGAGCTATTGATTTCACCCTGGCATGGTATTTCTTTGATTACAGCAGCATGGTGTTTGAGGAGTCCAAGACTGAAGAAGATCGAGATGGAGACGCTGAGAGTACTAGTGATGCAGGAACAGAAGATGATCTGGAAGAATTGGACAAAGAAACACTTATACTTAGACTACAGGCTGCAAGAGAAGAGAAGCTGTAAGATATTATTATCATCCTCTCTCATCCTCATCCTCCTTCTATACCTTCTTTCCTGTGTCCTTCTAATTCTGAGTCTCCACTTTTCCATCCTCTATCTTTAACTTTTATTACCCTTTCCTGAAGTAGTTTTTGATGCATATCATTAAACCTTGTCGCTGGATATAGTTTGTGGCTTTATTCAATGTTTCAATACCTTAAGCCTCATTTGCATATGATGTAGTAAACTGCAGCAGTGTTGTTAAATAATGATGTAAAGTTTAAAACACTTCACATTTTAAAAATAAATAACACATAGCTCAGTAAACATCCACAGGAACATTGTTGTGCTCAGTTGCCATTCAACAATCCTTTATTAGTTTTATTTATCTTCCCTTGTTCTCTACTGTAAAAATACGTTTTGTTGTTATTTGTTGATATTGCTTGGAGGGCCTATTTGATAAACCACATCAGCATTTTAAACATGATACAGTCAAACCTGTCTATAGCGACAGCCCAAGGGAAACACAAAAAGTAGCCTTTGAAGACAGGTTTCTTTAGTACATGTTTCAATGAGAAACCATTTTCAAGGGAAACAGAAAATGTGGTCATTGTAGACAGGTGGTCACTAAGGCAGGTTGGACTGTATCATGTGGATGATATATGTTTCATAATTTTTTATTCAGTCTTTTTATTAGCATTTTGTATTAAACACAAATAAAAATATAAAATGAGATAATGGATTTGTCCTCTTCCAGAGAAAACCAGAGGAAGTTGAAAAGTGCAATGAACCGAGAGACAACGTATCAACAGATGTTGAAGAAGAGAGAGCAGGATATCATGAGATTAGATGATAAGCTTGGCCAATTAGAACAAGTACAACATCTTAGCAGGTAAATAATATATCACTGTTATCATAGTAATAAATCATTTGTATAAGTTTAATGTTAGAACATGATCAGTTCATAAATGTGTTCTGGATAATAACAGGTACAGCATTTTATCAGGTATAAAACTAATAATTGTGATATTGAATAAATAATGCATTTGACTAGGTATATATTGTATAAGATTATTACTTGATGATTTTTGAACACCACCAGTATTGGTATCTATGTTAGAACAAGGACAGCATCTAACCAGGTTCAGCACTCAACATGTTAACATTGGAATAAATACAAGAGTATAACATGTACAAAGCTCTTGGTGAGATTAGATCAAAGACTACATCAATCTGCCGCCTTTTTAGTTATGTTTTAGTAGAACCTTCTAGCATTGTAGCAGACCTCACTCAACGCTCAGGGAAGGGGGTGTGGGTGAAGAGATATTGGCAACCATGTAGTTGCTGCTGTTATTTTGTTTTATTTATACCAAACAGGGCCTCATGGAAGACCACCAAATTGGTGATATGCGCCACCCTGTATAAATATCAGAAATAAATAATTAAAATATAAATAAATGTAGTGTTTATTAATTCCCAATATTGGGCATGAAAGGACTCAATGATGTTGAGATTTATTTTATTGATTTTAGGGACCTATTGAATGAAGAGGATTTGAAGACGGCGAGAAGGAATGTACTTGATCTACAAGATACACTCAAGATGTACCAAGAACAGAATGTCTTTCTCAACTCAGAGGTGCGCAAACAAGCTGGACTCAAATGTAGAGCGAGAGCTAAGATGGAGGGCATGCAGAGGTGAGTCTAGTCTAGTCTATTCTATTTGTTCTGTATTCTATTATGGTTGAATCTCTGTATAGCACCTTGCTCGATTATTCCTACAGTACATGTTTATGCAGTGAGTTTCCAGTATCAAGTATCATAAAAAATGCAAATCACTGTGGAATAACATATGAAAAGTAGGAAGAAAGCAATAAATTAACTACAATACACACATTAAGTAAAAGGAAAATATAATAGATATTTGGAGTAAAGACACTTCATTTTCATTCACTTTCATTTTGTTTGCTTTTTTCTTTTTTATTCTTTAATTTTTTAACTTTTCTTTTTCTAATACACTTTATGTATAAGAATATGATCTTTAAAATTGTGATGTTTAACAATTATTTTATTTTTGACTTTTTAGAAGAATAACTCACATGGATGCAGAGCTGTCTAAATGTAAGCGAGAGTTCATTCACCTTATGACCTGTCATGTAGAGGTCACATCTCTGGACCATAAGGACAACATTCCCATGAAGCTAGACTGGTCTGATGCAGTAAGTCTCTCTTAACATTCCCATGAAACTAGACTGGTCCGATTCAGTAAGTCTCTCTTAACATTCCCATGAAGCTAGACTGGTCCGATTCAGTAAGTCTCTCTAAGGTCATATTGCGAAGACTTCTTCAACATTCCAATCTCTCTGTATGTAAATAAAAGTTCCATGACATTAACATGACAATAAAATAATTGCATGAAAGTAACTTGAAGAATTTGTTTTCAAATTATTCATGATATACCCAGCTAAAAGCTGCACCATACATGCAGTGCCTAAAGTCATTACTTTGAGTGAAACTTGCATGGTATAATCTACATAAAAATATGGAAAAAGAGATTTGGTATTTGTAGTAGTTGATAGTCTAACTCTCTGCCTTTATTTATCTATCATAAAAGACTTTCAATATGATACCCTGTTTGTGTCAGGGTGTTCTTGTGTCCAATACAAATGTACTGGTATACTTTTGATTCATATCAAAGAAATCATATTATGAATTGGTTTTATAAAAGGAAGGAAATCCTTTTCCTGTGGATCCATAGCCAATGCTAGTAATCAAGACATCACTCATTTATCGCTTATACTTTTCATATCAAAACAATTGCACTGAGCAAAACATTTTAAAAATCCATACCATATTCTTTCTCTTTCCCCCCAGAAATACAAGAGATTCTTAGAGATGTATGATAGTGCAAGACAAAAAGATGTTACGCTCCTAGATCCAAGGTGAGTTTAGTGAGTCTGACAGATAAATAAAAGATGTTACACTCCCAGATCCAAGGTGATTTTATTCAATCTGACAGATTGATAATGAATAAAGGAGATTGGTTTTCTTTTCACTATTTTTATTAGTGTTGCAATCCTTGGACAAGGACAAAGATGGTTTTAATAATTGATTTTTGAGAGGAATTTAAATGTTTAAAATCTTTATCCTTGATCATCATAACATCCATTATGTATGCTATACTGTTTGCATTGGCATTATATTGTGATTATGTTGTATTTTTACAGAAGCATGTATTAAAGGTATACACCAGTTTTGGAAATGACCCCCTCTCAAAAATGAAGCTCTTATTACCAATCATGTGAAAGAATATGTTTCGACTAAACGTGATGATACTAATTAATATATTTGGTAAATTATCATAGCTATCCGGTCTAGATAGATATCCTGTAGTACCATATACATCTTTCTGTGTACAGTGCTTGTAACTTTACCAAGACTGGGCCAAATTTCGTATCATTTTGATGATTCCAGAACCTTGCAGTACACACAAATACTTATATGCTAGATGATCAACCTTTTCTCATCGATTCCACAAGGTTTCTTTCACAATGCAATCGCATGACCAGAATTGGTCTATACCTTTAACTAGAAAAGTCTTGAAAGTAAGAGCATTTGAAGTTTTGTAGAAACATGCCAAATGACCTTTGTATCTCTGATTGAACCACTCATAAGACACATGTTTTATGGTTATATTACAGGGTAGCAATGGCTGAAGGGATTACAGATCAGTATGGATTCCAGCAATATCACAACAATCAACCACTCTTATTCCATCAAGTTTGTCATCTTCTTGATAGACATATCCAGGGATACTCAAGGGTATGTATTCATAACATTCATGGTGCTTTTATATATTCTATATATGTTAAAACATTATTATCACCATGGTTTTGATGAACTGGGGGTTGTTTCACAAAGACTAAGATCAACTTTATGTTGGACTTACCTATAGCAGGCCATTCATGCCACTGGTCGCTCCCACCATTGGTCTCTCAATAATGATCCTTATATAATATTTTTTCCTTCAATGAAGAATTTAAAAAAAAATTAATTCTGTAGTTTTGTGACCATGATTTGTCTCTTGACAGACCAATGCTAGTAAACGGTGAAAGCAAATGATCGCTTGAACAGCCTGCCATAGTTAAGTCCAACTTAAAGTAGATCTTCGTCTTTGTGAAACAACCCCCTGGTCTGATACAGTAATAAGAAACTAGGTGTACATTATTCTCATTGTTTTGTTATGGATTACCTGTTGTCAAAGAGAAGTTCTTGGTTTTACCAGCCTTCTTTTTGAGTTTTTCCAAGCACTTTGGGATTTTCTAGAGCTAAAGCACTCTCAAAGTTGATGCCCTTTGTCACTGTCAAACACTCAATGAACTTTCCCAACCAGGTACTCACATACTCTGCCTTTGTCAGTATATGTAAGTGAATTGCTTGCCAAAGGAAGTTATTATTATGTAAGGACTTGAACCCTCCGCCTATTTGTCAGGGTCCCCTTCATGACATTCATAAGCCTGAAGCCTCAACCTGTTTCATTGGCCCTGCGATGGATAGCACTTATGAAACACAGTAAGATGTCTCCACTGTGTTTCGTTGCTGAACCTAAAGTAACCTAGAGTGAACACTGACTTGTACATGATTATGAAGCCTAAAACTGTCTAATTGATCCTATTATTCCCATTTACAGAAAGAATCAGAGCATCGGAAATCCTGGGAGGCGTACATACAGAAACATGAGCACAACTTTCAGGATCATCAGGTAGGTTTCATTCAAGCTGTTTGTGCAATGTGACAATCTTAAGTATGTGTATATGCATTGAATGACAAGGTTACAATTATAGAATGGGTATCTGTCAAAATCATATGATAGAATTGATTGCAGAGATGCACTAACAAATACATGTTACTTTCTAATAGCATTTAATTTCAATGATTGCTATAAAAGTGATTGCCGATAATAGGCATATCCTAATAAAACACGATTGTGATTTTGTTTCAAGATAGACTCATATTATATGCATTTTATGCATTTTTTTCTCTCCAGTTCAGTAGATATGGTCACTATATCAATTACAAACATTATTCATGGGGCACTCAAACATTTCCTTTGGATGACAAATCTGTCCTCTATGATATGAGTCAGACAAAACAGGCAATGATTGGTTTACGTAGAGAATCATCCCACCCCGACAGAACGGTAAGAGAATTGCAGGTTTGATTTCAAAGTGCAAAAAAAAAACGAGCAAAATATTATCATGAGTCAATATTTTCATTCTCCTCACTGTGATCAGTATTTTAAACAGATTTAATTGTCTTTTCATTATTATTAATGATGAGGTAATCATGATGTGTTTTCAGAGTGAGATGCATAACTTGGTGTATGGAGGAGTTCCCCCTGAGTATCGGAGTGAAGTTTGGACGCAGCTTATCATGGATAGAGTCAAAACCATCAAAGAGGGCAAGGTAAGCCTACTTCACACTCAAATTATCATTTGATTTAAACATTGCAATGCATTGTACACACAATATATCATAAATAGAAAATCAATTAATCACATAAGGTCAGATATGCCTACCGTACTTCACACTCAAAATTGTCTATTGATTTGGATGTTGTAGTATTATGAATACCGTAATGCCTGTAAGTAACGTCAAGGTAAATCTTCTTCCCTCTCAAACTGTCACAAAGGCATGATCTAAAATTTGTGATGCATTGTACACACAACTTATTATCAATAGATTCAATCAATCAAATAAGGTAAGGTGAGCCTACTTCACACTCAAATGTAAATCTGATTTAGAGCATTGTAGTGAAGTATGCATGGAGCTTATGGTTGACAGAAGCAAGTTTAAGAAGTTGTAGTTTGATTTTCTTTTCAATCATTATGAGTGTGGATGCAGTTTATCGTCAATAGCGGCCAGTAACAGAGGGCAAGGTATTTCTAGTTCACATTTATATTTTAAGTCTGTTTGGGATATTTTAGTGAAATGTTGACATGATGGATTTAGACATAACAATCAACGAAAGTTAGGTAAGCCTACTGCACACTCACAATCTGGTCTGACATAAGTTTTACCACATTGCTGTTATTTGTTTCTAATGCTTTGTTTCAGGGAGAGAACTACTTCCAGTCACTGTGTGATCTATGTGATACATCTCCAGCTGTAGAAACATATCGTCGTCAAATCAACTTGGATCTGCTTAGAACAATCCCTCATAATACACACTTCAATAATGAACATTCAAAAGGGGTAAGTTAACAATCCCTCATAATACACACTTCAATAATGAACATTCAAAAGGGGTAAGTTAACAATCCCTCATAATTCACACTTCAATAATGAACATTCAAAAGGGGTAAGTTACAATCCCTCATAATACACACTTCAATAATGAACATTTAAAAGGGGTAAGTTAACAACCCCCCATAATACACACTTCAATATTTAAAAAAATGAATATTCGAAAGGGGTAAGTTAAAGATAAACTTTAGTACTGGTAATGCGATTGCATTGTGAAAGAAAAGGTGTGGAAAGGATCAGAAACAGTTGATCATGTAGCATGTAAGTATTGGTGTGCACTGCAAGGTTCTGATGTCATCAAAATCATAATAAATTTGACCGAGTCTTGGTAAAGTAACAAGCACATACACAGAAAGCTATGTATGGGACAACACGAATGGTGTCGGGGTTGGTACTACCTTGATTCCTTGTCTTTCTATGCTCATTACTCAGCCAGTATACATTTTCTTCCAAAATTGTTTGGCACATGTCATTTATTTGTAATCTTGAACATTCAGTGTAAGTTTCGTTTGATTCTGTGAGAAATAATTTTCTTTTTTTTACCAGTACTCAACCTTCTCTTTAACAATCCCCCATAATACACACTTCAATAATGAACATTCGAAAGGGGTAAGTTAGCAATCTTACATAATACACACTAGTTGCTATTAAGTGGAGTAAACATCAATATTCCATAGATGGTGTCACACAGAGGCCAAAAAATATGAATTTTAGTTATCCAGATTTTAGTTATCCTCTTAATTGGCTGTCTGTCATCAATTATCCCTTCAAAAATCCTCTAACGAAGCAAGATAATTCTCCCTTAAAAGGATTTTTGAAGGGATTTTTAAAGGGATTTTTCTGTCTGACACCAATGTTAAAATAATCCCCTTGAAGGTCAGTGTAAGGTCAATGTTTGACTTAATGATTGGCTGGCATATGTTTTTTCAACGCGCTATCATAACCTGCGTATAATTATATTAGCGCGCATTTAATGAGACGCGTTAATTGAGCATTACTTTTAATTAAACGTGTGATGTCACAATGCTTATCTACCTAAACGGCGCCTGCACAATGGCCCATCAAAAATCCGGATTTTAGTTATCCGGTTTATTCGTAGCCTGTCTGTCACCGACGTAAATGACAAAAATAGATTTCTAAAATCTGGTTTATTCAAGATGGGTCAGGATTTTTCTGTGTGACACCGCCTAATGTAAGAATAATCGTTTGTCATCCTCATTAATATATTGAAGATGTATTTATCTGTATTGTGTACAACCACAGACAATTCAGTTCATTAAAGAAGATTTTTGCCAGTGATTTGTTTTGAAAGATATGCTATGGATGAAGAATAAAGGCTATTTGTCATATGATTTTCTGGTTTTGTTTAGATTTCTCAGTTGAGACAGCTCCTGGAAGCATTCTGCGTTCATAATCCTGAGATTGGCTACTGCCAGGGAATGAACTTCATTGCAGGAATGAGTCTTCTCTTCATGGACATTGAGACAGCTTTCTGGTTAGTATATTCATATACAGTCAAACCTGTCTATAAAGACCACTAAAGGGAAACAAGATTAGTGGTCTTTATATTCAGGTGGTCCTTATGTACAGGTGCCTATAGTAAATGTTTCAATGATGAACCAGTTTCAAGGGAAACAAAAAATGTGGTCTTTGTAGACAGGTGGTCACTAAAGCAGGTTTGACTGATTATATATATCAAGTTCATTGACCTTCACCTTGACTAGCCAAGGCATATGAGTTCAGGCATGTGGACAATGTTCAAGCTCCCTCCCCTACAACTTCTTAACTAGTGGAGTATGATTAGATATTGGTGTAAATCACTTTTCCCACAGACCCTATCCCAAGTTATTTTATTGATTAAAAGTGTAAAGCTAGTGTTACAATTGTAGTGACTAATATGAAATTCCCTGACATGATTAATGGCTTTCTTTCTGATGCCAGGTATTAAAAAGTGAAAATGAAAATAAGTCAAAAGTATACACAAAAGCTACACCTAACTCTTTGCAGATTTGTTTTATATTTGGGTTTTTTAATTTTTTGGCAGTATTTACCTGTTAACTAATGAATTGCTCTATGCCCCAAAATGCTTTGAAATACAAAACCACACCGGCTTCCTGTTGGCAGTAGGTGAAAGTGTATATTTGTTCTCCTCTTGTAATGTAGGTGTCTGGTTGCAGTTGTAGAGTACTACTTCCCACACAACTACTTTGATGCTAGTCTGATTGGAGCTCAAGCTGATCAGTACGTCTTGAAAGAAATCCTTCAGTGTCGGTTACCTCGGTTACATGCCCATCTTGATGATGTTGGAGTGGAGATGTGCTCATTCACTCTCAATTGGTTTCTTGCTATCTACTTCGAGGTTGTCCCATTTAATGTAAGTTCAATTCAAAGTTTATTCAACACTCTTCATAAAAACGTTTTAAACATACAAATACAATGGAATGGAATAATAACAAAAACAAGATAGTGATAACAAATAACAATGGCAATTTATGAGAGCATTTGGGATAGGCAGAAAGGAGGGATCCCGTATATGAAAGTCTACTCCTAAAAATTAGTTTCAAGAATGACAATTGCTCTTAAAGCAAGATCATGACCAGAAGATAATGTGATGGTTTTCCATCATCTTTTTATTCACTTTCTGTTTCAGTCCTGTTAATTAAGTTTCACTTGTTTGTTTTTTTTAATTTATTTTTTTGCTGATATTTTAGAGCTAGCTCATGTATTGAATACCTTGAATACCCTGAATAGCAAAGCTTTTGGAAAAAAGCCATCTCCAGCTGCCAAGCTTCCAGGTCTAACTTCAAGGGGGAGGGGAATGTCCGAGCTTCCAGGTCTTGCACCATGGTCATTTTACATCTGTCTCTTGCTTGCTAGGTCATATCGGGATTGTTATAGTTGGAGTGTTGTATTGGATGTATGTATTGTACCATCATGTTGTTTGATTGTTTGTTGGTCCGTAGACGTTGCTGAGGATCTGGGATTGCTTCCTCCTGGACGGTCTCTACGTTCTCTTCCAGTTCTCCATGGCTTTACTACAGTATCATGAAGAAGCTCTACTTAGTAGGAAGGACATACTTGCTCTACTCAAAGATACCAAACAACTCTGTAAACTCAGCTACAACATAGAGAACTTGGTTCAGGTATAGTGCATTGTATATCAATGGTAGTACCACCATTGAAATGGTTAGCAGTATGAGTAGAAACGTTTGTGTCCTACTATAGAGTGTTTCTCTTTCACTTGTGAGTTCAAACTAATAATTTCCTGAAAATTGATGTGCTTCTAGTTGTAGTTCCTCTTTTCTGGTGCTTTTTCTATTATATTTGTTGTTTTATTGCATATTTTTGTAATATAATTATTCATTGTATTTTGCGGCATGAGAAATAAAATCATTTGAATCATTTGAACTATGTGACTCTCTGACAGCTCCTTTTCCAGCTGAATTGTGCTATGGAGATATGATATTTTGGTAAAATCAGGGATGCCAGTTTTCAGTCAATAGCCTGAATTCAGGCCCTGGCGAGTTATTTTCAGACCATAGTTTAGGCTTTTTTGTGTACAAAATAGCTCATTCTAGGTGATTTTCAGGTCCTCTGATCAATTCTAACTGGCATCCCTGTAAAATGTTTCTTGGGGGGGGGGGGAGGGAGGGAGGTTTCACCTCCTTGTAGTAACACTTGATTTGGTGTCATTTCATAGTCATTTCAATGTAATTACCAAGATAAGTTATTTGTCTGTTGTAGACTGTGAAGGATAACATGAAGGAGTTCCAGTCCTGGAGCTGGATTGAAGAGAGACAGGCACACTACATGAACAACCTACAGAAGGTATATGAGGAACAGGAGAGAGCAAGAAAGGAGTTTGAGAAGCAAGAAGGTCTAACAAGTAGCAGCGTGCAGACCATCACAGCAGGACCTCCTAGTGGGACTGAAGAATCTTCCTATGGAGAGGTGTCTGATCATGATCTTAAGATGGACTGTGCTGTAGAATATGCACAAGGTAATCAACCATTCAGTCAATTCAATTCAATAAAGGTTTATTCAAACATGTTTCGCAGTACAAAGACTGAATTATACATGTCATACAAAGATTAAAATACATTGTCAATACAAATTGCAATTGTGAATAAAACATATTCACTTAAATTTCCTTTTACTTTAATCATTTATATGAATTAGAATATCAGTGTGGTCATATTGGTGTGAGATCTCCATTCCCCTTTCATCAAAATCATGTAACATATTCTCCCTTGATTAAGAATTTATATTTGGGTTCATGTTTTGAAAGTTGTTGGAGTGTTTTGATTGATTTATTCTGGAAACATTCTTGATGTTATTGTCCTTATTCAAAGGAGATGGAGTGTAGCACAGTATATCATGAATATAACATATCATCTCATCATACATATTTCATGTGTTTGACATTCTGAGGTAGTTCTGAGCAACATATCACCTATCTACTGATTAGGCATACATGTAAAACATTCAGTATGTGAGGTGTTAAAGGTAATACAAAGTTTTGGTCTGGGGTCATGAATTTGGTTCAAATGAACATATTGGAAGCATATGTGATCCTACAATATTCAGTGATCATTGTCGCGGTTGAAATCGAGTCTAAAGTTATGAAATTGTAAATAATAAACTCTTTATGTTGTATAGCTCCCTCTCAAGGTCAAGATATCAATTAAGCTATAAAACAATGTTTCTTGACTAAGATTGACCGATTTGCTATTCCCGTTTGTAAATTATATATCAGAACTACATATTCTGTGATTTTCATGGTCTCAGCTACCATTGTACGGCCGTAGGCGCTATCTGAAATTTATCAAAATTTACCGGGAGCACCGGTAAAGTTTAATATTTTTAATTTTTCTCAAAAGCGTAAGTGTTTTAGGGGATAATTTTTTTAGTGCCCTTAATACATCCACAAGGGTATCCAAATATATCAAAATTGTAAAGAATCACTATCCACCCATTTTTTGAAATTTCCCAAAACTTTGTATTACCTTTAATAGAGTGCTTTGTTTGGAGTGAGAGGTAAACTTGAGATAAGGTTGTGTTCAATGTTTGAAGGTAACATGGATATTCATGTCTTGTTTCTTACAGGAGGTTTGTTGGTATGTCGGGGTGATATCAGACAAGGCTGGATCAGTCGGGTTGATGTAAAGCAGTGCTCTAAACAGAACATTGGTGCCAGGGTAGGTTATATCTTGTATTAACCGGTCATCTTGCTTCAAAGGGAAAATTCTTTGCTTCCCTCTAATTTACCATGGAGATGTAATTTGTCATTGATTAATTCATTAGCACATAAAGATGTTGTCTTCCTTCAGATTAAAAACTCCATAAATACGTTGTATTAAGAAGATATCCATCAGTTGTTATAGCTGCATACCCAGTGTAATTTTTTTCCCCACTAAATTATTTTGATTTGACTAGATTAATTATAGTCATTTTTATCGGACTTCCCTGGCTTCTTTCACAGGGTTCCTGGTTTATTCTCTTTTCACCTTAAATGTAAAGCAGGGACCTGTTTCACGAAGCCTTTTTTCAATGACAGATGACAAAAATCAGTGACAAATCTGCTGATAACCAATCAGAAGCAAGGATTTCATTGCTTATAACAAAAGACTGTCATTTGTCACTGATGACAAGTTTTTTGTGAAGCGGGACACCGGTTGTACTTAGAATATTCAGTGTGTCTATTGAGGTATTTAAATAATATGTTGCTTATACCCTTTTCACATCTATTTTTCTTAACCCCGGACTATCCTTAACCCCATACTATCCTTAACCCCATACTATTTTTTTTGCTGTTCACATCTATTTTCTTAACCCCGGACTATGTGCTTAGCCGGGGTTAAGAAATTTCACGCGATTCACACTACGTTCGCCTTAGCCCCGGACTATTCGATAGCTCATGAATATTAATGCTTTTGCTACCGCGCATGCGCCTTTCGACTAAATGAAGGGGAAAAACCCGCGCGCTAAATTCAATATGAATATAAAGATTTTTTCATAATGACCTCTGCCTCGTAAAAGACTAAACGTCAATACAGAGAGCATGCATGCGTAACGTGAACTGCATGCATGCGTAACGTGAACTGCATGCATAGCGCGCGATAAATGCAAATTCACGACCACACGACCACGCTGTCTGTGATTGGCTGTTGCTTAGCCCCGCTTCTCCTTAGCCCGGTTCGGATTCACACTACGCAGCTTAGCACCACAATTGCCCGGCTAACCCCGCAATTGCCCGGCTAACCCTGCTATTTTGCAGGGCCAGATAGTCCCGTACTATTTGTGGGGTTAGCCCACTTTGGCAAAACGTAATGTGAACAGAAAGCCGGCTAAAATTACCCCGGGTAATTGGTGGGGCTAAGGAAGGAATAGGTGGGGCTAAGAGCCCCCTTAGCCCCACCTATTTCCCGGGGTTAAGCAATATTTGGTAGATGTGAAAAGGGTATTAGTGTTCAACCAATATCTCAACCATGAATTCATATTGAATTTCTTCTTTCTGTATGACAGCTTGACAGCAGGGTGATCTGTATGTCAATGGCAGGACCAGACTGCGTGCTTCTCGGTACCTTATCATGGTTCCTGTACCTCTTCAATGTAAAGACACAGTAAGTCACTCGGTACCCTATCAGGGTTCCTGTATCTCTTCAATGTAAAGACACAGTAAGTCACTCGGTACCCTATCATGGTTCCTGTATCTCTTCAATGTAAAGACACAGTAAGTCCCTCGGTACCCTATTGTGGTTCTTATATCTCTTCATTGTAAAGACACAGTAAGTCACTCGGTACCCTATCAGGGTTCTTATGTCTCTTCAATGTAAAGACACAGTGAGTCACTCGGTACCCTATCATGGTTCCTGTATCTCTTCAATGTAAAGACACAGTAAGTCACTTGGTACCCTATCATGGATCTTCTATCTCTTCAATGTAAAGACACAGTAAGTCACTCGGTACCCTATCAGGGTTCTTATATCTCTTCAATGTAAAGACACAGTAAGTCACTCGGTACCCTATCAGGGTTCTTATATCTCTTCAATTTAAAGACACAGTAAGTCACTCGGTACCCTGTTGTGGTTCTTATGTCTCTTCAATGTAAAGACAGAGTAAGTCACTTGGTACCTTATTGTGGTTCTTATGTCTCTTCAATGTAAAGACAGAGTAGGTCACTTGGTACCTTATTGTGGTTCTTATATCTCTTCAATGTACATGTAGACACAGTCAGTCGGTACCCTATTATGGTTCCAATATCTCTTTAATGTGAAGACACAGTAAGTCACTAGGTACCCTATCATGGTTCCTCTATCTCTTCAATGTACATGTAGACACAGTCAGTCGGTACCCTATTATGGTTCATATATCTCTTCAATTTAAAGACACAGTAAGTCAGTCGGTACCCTATCATGGTTCCAGCATCCTTTCAATGTATAGACACAGTAAGACACTTGGTACCTCATGACAACCATTCAGATTAATACCATGTTCGATGTTTTCTTCTTTCAGGCAAGAGCTTTGGTGCGAGAGATTGCGTGACACACCGCTCTGCGTAACCCATGAAGACAGCACAAGGAATGTATATGTGGGGCTAGCTGATGGGACATTGGCGGTCATGGAGGTAACTGATAAAAATACATGCAGCTGATAGTCTATTAGTGAACATAAAACACTTAATTGACTTACTAATAATAATAATGATAATAAAACCGGTGCTTATAAAGCCCTTAACACAAAAATCTCTAAGCGCTAAAATAGCATATTTGGACAATTGACTGCCGCACCACTTGGACAACTGTCTTAGATAACTGTTTGTTTGTTTGGGGTGATATCATCTATGTGATGCTTGTTTGTCTGTGTTGGGGATGGGGTGAGGGTATCATAAACAAGCAAACATAACTTGTGGAAAGGGAACCTTCAGTGTGATGAAAAAATGCCATGAGACGGACATATTTAGAATGTGTTATGAACTACAGTACCATGTAAACCTAGTAGACTTTGTTATTTGATATTCAAATGATGTGAATATTTGTTTCAATGTGGGACATATCTCATTGGTTTGTTATGACCTAGAGCTGTATATGTTGTATGTTTACAGGGTATCATAGTGTCTCATCCACCTGAAGTGTTCTACCATGCTATTGGAGCGTCTCCTGTTCGATGTATTCAACTCATACCAGACCTCAAGCAGATCTGGTGTGCTTCAGGCAACTCAGTCAATATCCTCAACACGTAAGAGTTCTTAACATCCTTTTTGTTCAATACTAACTTTTTACTTTTTCATTAATTCTGAATTATGTTTACTAGCATGTTCAATGATTGATAGTTGTTATATTTTCTTTGTAGTCATACATATGTCCCTCTGTCAAATCATATACATTTCTTTTTTGTTAGTCTTCTCAATTTAGTTTTAGGACTGCGATTATGGAATATTCTCAATAAAATCTTTCGAACAATAAATGCCATAGCCCTGTGGTTCTAAGATGAGGTCTTGGGTACAAACCAGATTGGTTGCTGGTAGCCCTGTGGTTTTAGGAAGTTTGTAAATAGCAATGACAACCATTTTCATAGCAAGACATTTCCAATTTTTTTGTTGTGAGAAATTTAATTCAATTGATTTGCAGCATAAATCTTGTTCTCTTTGACTTGTATCCTGTAGCTCTCTGAATGTACTAGATGGCTTTGAGATGTCTAAGAACCGTAACAATCACATTCAGAACATGGAGTTGAGTGATAGAGGAGTTTGGATCAGTATGCGTGGATCATCATTCATAGCTTTATGGGACATTCATTCACTCTCCTGTCTGTTGATGTATGATACATCATCTGATCAACTACCCATCTACAAGGTAAGAACATGCACTCTATTCTTAGATTGTAATCACTCTGGGGAGTGTTTCACAAAGACTAAGATTGACTTTAAGTTGGACTTTAAGTTGGACTTAACTATAGCAGACTGTTCATGCCACTGTTTGCTCTCACCAATATGATCTTTAGATGATATTTTTTCCTTTAATAATGAATTATCAAAATATGTAGATTCGTGACCACAATTTGTACATCCCTTGAGAGACACCAATGCCAGTAAATGGTGAGAGCAACCAGTGGCATGAATGGCCTGCTGTAGTTAAGTCCAACTTAAAGTTGGTCTTAGTCTTTGTGAAACACTCCCCTGGTCGTATCGTGTTATTAATCATCTTCAACTGTCCTGCTATATGAATTTCACCATATATTAAAGTCTTGTTCATGTGAAATGTTGGTATGGGTGCAAATGTCTACCCATTTACTTTCATATGTTTAAATATAAAAGATATGGAGATAGTTTGCTTCCTTTTGAAGACTTTACCTGTTTTTTCTGCTCAGGTTCCCAGTGATGAGACTGTGATGTCTCGGATTACAGCGGTCATGCCATATAACAACACTCTATGGATAGGTACAGCCGATGGTCATCTTACCATATATGACGTGATTGATGTAGAGTGTTCAAACCTTCATTCTGCTACCAGGTAAATATACATTAACCATCTGCTTTATCAAGTAATCTTAGCAAACCTGATTAGATAGGCCTTGAATAAGAATTATTATACATAAAGCTTACACCCCTTTTTTCACTGATTTGCTTAGTTGTAGGCTAAAGATGATCATTGTTTAAATGTTTGGATAGTAGAATTTCATACAACTTAATGATACGCAAACATCTAGGGGTATTAGAGAGTTGTGCATCTGTTTTGGTGTATGTAGTGTAATACATATATTTTTAATCCCAGTCTTACTTGTACTCATTCATCGCTTTAAAAAAATCCAACAAAATTCAATATCTTGAGCATAAATAAGATGATATTCTAATGATACGTTATTTCAGATATTTGAATACCACATTTTATATCTGTAAATTAGAAATAGCTGTGCAGTGGCTACTTTTGAAATGATGCAGTTACTTGAACTGAATATATAAGGATGAGATACATGTACTTGTAGCTTATGAAAGTCAAGAATTGTATGGATTCGATTTATTTCTATAGATCTGAAGATGAGCTTGATATCAAATCTAATGGAGAGGATGAGGGTGTGTCCTACCAGAGTGATGATGCCATAGCAACCGCTTCAGATGATGAGAAGACTTCTGAAGCTGAGAGAAGCTCTCAAGAGAACATTGTTGATAGCGGGATGGGCGGAAGCAAAGAAGGGCTCAAGACCGGGGATGAAGAAGATGAAGAAGACTTTGAGAAGAAAGGTGAAGAGATGAAGAAAGAAGACCGGGAAGGAAGTCAGAATAACCGAAAAGCTGAGTTGATGTTGCCTGAGATAGAGACTGCCGAGTCGAAGATGAGGAAGTCTAAGACTCTTGAGGAGTTTGTAGTAGTTGGAAGAGATGAAGATGGTGCACAGGAGTACGATCCATCGGTCTTTGAGACCAGCCTAAAGAATGGCACTATGAACAGTGATAAACACAGCAGGATAGACTTTTCCATCAAGAGCCGTAGACCAAAGAATTCTCGTAAGAGGCTGGACAGTCCACGCAATCTCAAGAAACTCCTTCATCCCAGAAGTAAATCAACTTCAAGTGAGAAATCAGGAGAGGAGCAGACCTCACCGACCAGTCGCACCAGCTCTCATCATAAATCTAAAGACAGAGTACAATCTGTACTGGGTAAACTCACTCATCGCTCATCAACAAAGAAACACAAGAAATACCGCTACAGCAGAGAGCTACGAGAGGAGACTAGAAGAGGGTCTCTCTTCATTGCTGATGATACAACGTTAGATTCTCTGCTTGAGGTAGCCAATGGATCGGTACCATCTGGTGAATCTTTGGTAGACACGGGAGATGAGAAATCTCGGTACTCAACGCTGACCCCTCAAGGAACGACCTTTGACCCTTCTGAGATTGAAGTCTATCAGCAATGTGAACTCAGATGTGAAGCTAAGAGGAAAATATCTGAACATCAAGTCAGAATACTTGTTCTTACTGGGTTAGTACGGATACATATGTTTCTCTTTATTTCCCTTGCTATTTCTTTCTCTCTTCCTCTTTCTCACCACGCACCCCCCCCCCCCCCCTCTCTCTCTCTCTCACTCCCCCTCCCCCACCCTCTCTCTAGTATAGTGTGTGATACTGATGATTCTAGGCATGCATTCAAATGCCTTTGCATAAATTAGTAGTATAGAACAGTTCATTCATAGTCAATAAACATATCCACTAGCACCAAGATCTTGACTAAACAATGTTTTTATATCCAACTTAAGAAATATATTAAAATATAATTACTCTTGTCCATCATCCTCTTTAGTAGCGTCTGATTGGACATTTCATTTCTCTTAATATAGCCTTTCTCCAAGCCTTTCTGTCTTTCGCATTTTAATCTTTCTATATGTTTCTTGATGTATCGTAGAAGTAAGAGTTACCTGTGAATGCATCCAGAAACCAATAGACTAGATTGTGTACATTCATTCTTTTCATTTATTTCTTAATATTTCACAATCAGTTTGGAAGATAACGAGCCATGTGTTGTAAGCTGTGCTGGTTACTATGGTGATGATGAATCCATACTCAGATGGACATGCCATACTAGAGAGGTAAGGTTACATCATTCATCGTGCTCTATTTTTATTAGGTGTCTGAATGATAAGGTGGCCCCTGCACTAATTGTGTGTTTTTGCTATGATGACACATTTACAAAAGGAGTCTAAACGGAAATTATTCTCACATAAATATTATATTGAAAGAATCAGAGTAAATTGCCATCTCAAAGATGCATTCAGATTCTATCTGTAGTGACCTTTCAACTATCATTGACAAGCATTAAAGACATACAAGTATGGTTTCTCACGGGGGATTTGGCACCAATGGGCTATTCACCCAGTAACAGATATTATCAATCACAGGAAGCATTGTATTCACTTTTACAACCAACCAGATTTAGGGAAAGTCATCCTCACCGAAGACTCTCTGATAGACCTGGTTATTTCTCAGTGGGGCATCCAATTTGCTGTGTGCGAGACTTGTACACCTATCAATGGTATATCCACCAAGTCCTTAGTGTCGGCAAATTGTGAAATACTGCAAGTGGAAACTACTGATCATATGTCTTTAAGGAAATCCTTTTCATTTATTTTTACCTTCTAGAACGTGTGGATGCAGGTTCCAATAGAAGATATTACATAGAGAGATGGAAGAGAAGAGGTTTGTTCAGTGTGAGGTTTGAAGGAGAGCAACTATTGTACTACATCAGCTCAGGTTGGAAATGGTCAGCTTATGACTGCTATATACCAAATCAGTTATATCAATTGATATATAACCATGGCAACCATGTCATGGTATGCATGCACTAAAGTGTGCAAGCTTCTATTTGTTTTTCTCTCATTTATTCCATTTTTCAAATAAATTATTCAAATATGTGACAGATCGGAAAACTGTTAGTTTTTCCAAGAACATGTATAAAGTCGCGTCTCTTAGGCCTGATTTATTAGGTGATTGTAACATGTAAATGCATGTGGATTACAATAAACAAACTGAGAAGATAATTTACTTCATGGTATTACCAAATGTTATATCATATGATTTTCTTGGTGCAAAATGCTTGAATGGTAAAATTACCTGATGCGAGTCTGTTCTAATGTTTTCATTTCTTGAGACTCTGTTTTTTGTTTCTTTAATATTCATTCACATGGATAAAATGTACATATTGCAATCAAATCTGAATAAAGGAGTAAATAACAAAACTGAATAAACCAAGTAATAGGGTAGCATCCTTACGATATGAGGTGTTGTGTTACTTTAAATTTCTTCTCATATAAAGTAGATTTTGTCAGTACTTAGTGAAGTGAATGGTTTTAAAAGATGGACAATATATTGTCTCATACATTTAAAAACACGATTTATTGCTTTGAAATGTTTAACAGAGATATAATTGTGAATAAACCTTTCATTAGGAAAGGATGAAGAATATATATACATGTATGTGTAAATATATAATGAAAATATTATGTTAACAATCATGAATTATGAATTGTTCGTTATCATTCAAGCAGTTATGTTACTCTCTTGGTCAATACTTACGAACTTTCAAGACATTTCTTGCCACTAGCATAGGGGATGTTATACAATTGCCACATACATGTGTACTTAAATATTTACATGTGTACTTAAATATTTACTTCAGATATTGTTTAATTAACTCTGATTTTGCTGTAAAATTGATGTATTATGTTGTTGATTTTGTTGCTAACTTCCATTTCCAGTTATACATATACCTTGTGAGGACTGACAAGGTAATCTCTAAGATGGGTATATACAAAAGGAGGTGGTTTAGTGCTTCAATTACCGGTAATTGACTTTCAATCAATGTCTTGATGATTCTATTCTTTGCCTGGCTTCAACGTTATTAGTCAAGGTACGAGGCTAAATACAACCCACTCTCATCATTTCATACGTATAATACCCTTTTCTTTTCTTTTTTTCTGACTCATTATCATCATGAATGTAGCGCAATTTCAACTTCTTGTAAGCCTCTTCAGTGCATGGACAAATTACATTTTGTTGGGAAAGAATGCGGTAAAAATTGCTACGTAGCCATTTGTATGTGTGGGAAAATATCAAATGTCACAATACTCCTTTGCCCTTATTTTGTTATATAAAGGACTAGAAACCCTTTGCCTCTGTCCACCTACATGTAGGTGTAAATGGATACCTGGTATGCTCAACCTTTTTATAATTCAGGGATGCCTGTTTTCAGGCTATAGCCCGACCCCATTCCAGGCTTCATATTGTACAGCATTATGGGACTCCAACGTGTCTGGGACTATAAGGTGTCAGAGCTTGTCTCTTTTCAGGCTCCATGATTAGCCACTAGGCTACAACCAGGATAATATTGGAAGCACCAGGAGCTTCATCTTGTGAGTGCTTTACATGAATATTCATTAGTCTAATCGTTTGTCAGAGGATATGTGACAAATGAGGTGTTTTCAACAACATCTTCATAGTTAAAAACAATGACAAATATCAATTAGGTTGAGAAATGAAGAGTATCAGTCATTGTTTTGTTTCTCTTTGGGTCTTCTTTATTAATTTTTGAAAATGACAATTGAGATCAACCTAAATCCATGTACACCTGTAGTTTAATAGTTATGCAATGGTTTTCTACAAGTATTATGCTTAACATATCATACAGCCAGTAGTCATGTCATGCAGTTGATTTATCTTTAGTACAGTATTCCTTTCCTACTTTGTAAGAATCATCATTTTAAATCCAGTAAGAATTGTGCTGCTCTTGTAATTGATCAAAGATTTGTTTAGATCTCTCCTGCACCTTGCATTCCCTGTATACATACACTCTGAAGCCCATACAGACACGGTGTGCTAAACTGGCCTAAAAAAACAAAGACGACCACAACGGTATTAAGGCAGAACTTAAATCTGAAAATAAATGCAAAAGGCCGTGATGTTACAAAGCATTGCACAAAATTGGACCCTACACATACATACTCAGTAATGTGTGTGTTATAAGATACAGACATGTGAAGCACACTTTGTTTTCCTCATGTTATCTTGCCATATACATAGCAAGGTTATACAAGTAATTTACCACCCTGTGTCTGTATGGGTAAATTCTTGATTAACATTCATTTTTATCTTGTAGTGAGTTGTGTAATAAAGTTTTTATGATGCGATTGTAAATAATTACTGAAATTTTTATAGAAGTAAGAGGACTAATTTGTGAGACTTGCTAAAGAGGGAATTAAGTCTCATCTACTTGTAAGCTATATTTATGATATTTTGTGGAATGTATATTGCTGATAGTGTAAACGAGAATGGTATCAAATCTTAGGCAGGATGGTGACAGTGACTTTGCATCATACATATGTGAATAAGAGGAGTGAAATAACTTCAAAATTCCTTTTTGTTTTGTTCCTTCTTTGTTATTTAAATAAAGAATGTAGTTTGTGATTGAAAGATTATATGGCATTTAATGACAGGTGTAACAAACACCTTGAAGCTCTTTTAAAAACTTGTATATTTGCTTTGAATTGGTGCTTATCATGTAGGTGTTGATTGTTGCTTACTTGAGCTGTTAGACATTGATCATAAACAACTCTGTGAAGATGATGATAAGTGAGCATGTGATTTAGTTTATTTCATGTAAAGAAATTGTTTTCAATGAATGATATTCAAGACTCATAGTAATTAGTTTCAGATTTATAACAAAAATCATATATGTTAGCCATCATGTAATAAGTTTAGTTTTGAGCTATAATTTGTATTTTGTGAGGAAATATTATGAAAAGCTATGTACAGTTTAGGGTATGTAAATTGTGTCATGGTGTTCATTGTGTAAGTTTGTTTTAGATTTACAATTGTCAGGCAAAGATTTGGTGCTTTTATCTCATATTAAATGTTTTATTTGACTTTGTGAAGATGCAGGTAGATGAATATAGGACATTAATCATTTGATTGAAATCATGTTACAAAGAACTGAAATCAAGCTGTTATTATAAGGTGCTGTGGAATCAGTGATGTGTTGCAATTGGCCAGAAGAATAGAACCAAGCAAAACTCAGTTGGCCATTCTAGTCATTCTCTATCATTTGAATTGGCTCATGTTTAGAGCTCCATATGTCAACTCTCTGTCCCGTTTCCATATCTACTTCCGTCTTGATCAATTCCCCCCCCCCCCATTTTTTCTTCTTCTTTTCCTTGTCTCTTTCCTCTTTTTCTCCTTTCTTCATCTCTTCTATCCACCCACTCCATCTCTGCGCTACTTTCTTCCAATCACCTCTTCCATAATCTTATTTTCTTTTCTCCACTCTTATGTCTAGTTTCTACCCCATACAATCTCACCACGTTTCACATATAAATAATCCCATTTTTCAACTCTGTTCTCTCCATAATCGGACCATTCAATCATCCTGAATGCTGTTTGGCCAAGTTAATGTACGTAGTCAATGAAGCAAATGTTTATTTTTGTTACCATACATTGATAGAAATGATATAAGTTTGAGCTTAACGCTTCATGGTCATATTCATATAAATTATCTAAATGTAATGGCATGCTTATGTGTGCAGAAATAAAAGTGAAATAATGATATCTGACTATCCATTTGTCTTATTGTGTGTAGATACATGGAGATTATAGGAATCTCAATCTCAGAATTTAAACAGTTCAAATACCTGTGTAACAATGTACTTCATTCCAGAGAAACCTTTAATCTGTATACTGGACACAAAAAGAAATATTCTCAAAAGTCATCATTTTCATTGTTGAAGTGGTTCATGCTACAAGACAAGGGCAAGTCCAGGCTATGTCACATACATTAGCAAGTATTATTGCATTGTGTAATAGAATTGTAAACCTAAATTTCCAGTAAAATACCATTTCATGATTCAAGCTCTAGCAGAGCTATCAGCTTGAAATGGTCATCGGATCATCAAAAAAATAGCTTAGACTTGCCCTTGGGTGATCATGAGTCTGAAAAATGCTTTTGATAGACCTAGAATGAATACAACAGCCTTTTTATTTTTTTACAGGAGTCATCCCATCTGTTTGCTGTTGATTGCAATTACTGTAACAACAACAAACACAAAATAATAATAATAAAAACTCTAACAAATAGAGTATGGCAATATAGTATTTATTCTACAAAACAAAGAAAAAGTGGAATGGCACATTCTGGAATCAATTTACTTAGTTTTAAACCATAAAAGAAACTGGAGACATGCATTTACTACAATTTGACATACCATACATGTAGTAGAAAGTTGTGTACAAAGGCATTTTCATATTTCAAGGCACAACATTATTTTCAATTACTACTGGCTTAAGGATTTCGTAATACTGCTCTAAACATGCCCCTAACTTTAAACAAAAAATCTTTATAATAATTTATTTATACAGGTGTACTGCACAGAATAGGTAACCCCCACAATACACAGCACAATAGTAAATGGAAACATTCTTTGAATAATTATACTCTCTTGAGGCCCATATTGACCATAATTAAATACCTAAAGCCCAGAGCTTCCAGGGGCCTACATCCTAGACCAGGCCTTCTCAACTGGCGGCGCGCGCGCCACTTGTGGCGCTTGCGGTTAGTCGGAGTGGCGCGCGACTGTTGCAACAACAAATCAAAAAACAGAAAAAAAGATAATATATATATTTCAGAATTAAATACTCAGCTAAATCAAGAAGTTGCAGTCGAATTCGAGCCCTAAATGCCTGTTTTATTAACAAAAAGGAAGAAAGGGGGAATTTATCTTTTTTTTTACCATTTTATACGAATCTAAAAGGTCTGAACAACAATTAGCTTACGATGAGATATTCAACATTGCCAATATCTGGAAACCTCTCGTTTTCGTTTGTTTAATTTCACTTTATTTTGACATTTCCCGTGTTTATTGCACACAAAAAAACTACATATAAATATACCTCCAGTGTAATTGTACTCAGGAATTTTACAATTTTTTTCACATCAATATGAAATTATGAGTGATTATTTTATTGTGGAATGAAATGGTGCTAAAAATTCCCCATTTGGGCCTTTAGAAAGCCCTAAATCTACCAGCTTCAGGGGGCTCAGCCCCCTGCTACCCCTGTTAGGGCTTCGCCCCTGGACCCCACCCATTTTCGGCTCGGTCACTACGCTCCCTCGCAGCACAGTCGACCTTACAGGGTGGCACTTCAACTACAAATTCTTTTTGTTTTGGCACTTCTAATAAACTAGTTGAGAAGGCCTGTCCTAGACCCTGACAAGGGCCATAAGCTAAACAAAAGCATGAATTATCTTAAGGCATGTATATACACCACTGCTTCCTAAATCATGAAAAAATATATTTACACTCCATTACGTTTCATTGGTGAACTTAATAAATGTTGAGCCAAAGCACTTGACACTACGTGCAATTCTATATATGCAGTGTAGTAAGTTTAATTTGCATAATGACATAATGTAGGTCATATGACATTACATATATGTAATTGAAAACATGCTTTTCAAGAAAAAAGAGTTGCCATTTAAAGGCAAAGAATTTACATTACCGGTACTTTCTTATTTTTAACTATATAGATGCATGTGGATGGCAAAGTTTTGAATGACCATTTACCTCCCTCACAGACACTTAAAACCATGACATGTTTAATACCACTGGATAGTACATCATATCACAATTGACGATGAAACTACAAAATTTGAGATCACTTCAAATTTGCAAACTGGTAACATTACTTCAAAGTCTTTGATATAGGCAAATAACTCTCCCATATGCCCCTATACAATAACTTAATTTTCAATTTTACATGGTTTGTTGCTGACTAATATACTTACCCATTTGCCAATTCAACATTTACATAGATTTTGGTCATCTCAACTTTCTTGATATATTGTATTGTCCACTTTCTTACAAACTTTCACCAACCAATTTCTCTCCCTTTTTTCTGCATTCACACATTCCAGCTTTATTGGATTGCCATTTGAGTACTGAAAACCATGTAACCAAGATATCTAGATGTGTAGATATAGATGTCACATCAACTAATAATCATCTTCGTCCACATGTAGGAAGATACATTCACAGTATTGGTATTATATTGACATCGCTCTTTAAGCTTGGACGGACTCGGGAGAACAAAGATCAAATACATTCATCACATCCCATTTTATCACAAATGTTCCATCAAAATGATTTTATGTACAATATATACAATAAATACATGACCAATATAGGTATGAGACAGGCCCCCTGTACAAAGCAATGAGATGTTACGTTGTTGAAGAGGCATTAGTAAAACCTGGCACTCCTTTATCTTTGAGTACGGCTGCTTCCTTCTGTAGTACGTTGAGCAGAGAATGGGAGCTCTCAATGATCTATAGGGGAGGAACAAAGCAATCAGATCACACACCCACACACATTATATTCTATGTCTCAAAATACTTTTCATGTTAATCTTATGTTGTCAAACACTTGTTATTACCATAAATCAATTTCTCTACAGTTTCTTCAATTCACAATTCACTTATCCGCTCAAAGGTCTGATAAGAAGGGACTCTAAATTCTCAGCTCCAAAACAAATGGGAAACATAAGTTACAGTGACATCAAATCGGATAGTACTGCATATTTTATCATAATGTGTGCGAAATAGAGGCCCATTTACATATACTTGTACATGTATTTATTCATTACTTGCAGACATTTTCTACCAAGCATACAACCACAGCACCAACACAATACCAAATTTCGAATTTTTTGTCATTCCATTTTCCTTTATCAATATCTTAAGTATTCTGGATTTTTTTAAAATAAAATATTTGGTGTATGTTTCAGAAATAATTAAAGGACAAGTCCACTCGAAAAATAACTTACTTTCAGTAAAAGCAGAAAAATCTAACAAACCAATCAAAAAAAGTTTGAGCAAAATCGGATAACTAGTCAAAAGAAAGTTATGAATTTTTGAAAAAGTATGTAAAACTATGGAACAATGAGAATCCCAACACATATTGTCAAGATGGTTATCAGTTTGTGACGTCTGTCCTCACTATTTATCACTTGCTCTATATATGGTTTAATCCAATTAATTTCCCTTTTTATTCCCAAAACTTGATTTCCCCATGCCTTTGCCCAGGTTATATGATTTGTATCATATTGCTTGCATGACATTTTACAAAAAATTGTATGAACTTTGAAGAATTGATAATATTGTATATTCATAATTATTGATTTGTATATAAATAGTTTATCAAAATTCACAGTTTTCATGATTTAACTGGAAAAAAAATTACTCTATATTAGTGCATCCACACATAAACATATTACTATTAATCTAACTTGGATGCTGGTGTGAAGAAATAAGATTCTTAAGGAGAAAATAGGAAATTTATATCATCAATATAAAGAAAATAATTAGTGGATAGTGAGGACATGATGTCACAGAGTCATGAGTGAGTTGCCAATTTGTCTAGTGATTTTCAAAGTTTATAATGTCATTACAAATTCATAACTTTCTTATTAGTTATCCAATTTTGCTCAGACTTTTTTTGATTGGTTAGTCTGATTTTTCTGCTTCTATTGAAAGTAAGTTATTTTTGGAGTGGACTTGGGCTTTAAGAAAAATAGATAAAGACAAAGACATGATAATCAGTATTTGTCTTATCAATTTTTTTAAAATCATACTGATAAAATCAAATTGTTGATCTTTGTTCAATATTTGGTCATTTTGAAACATTTTCTAGATGGCCCAACTTTGGCAGCTACATGTACAGGTAGGTTGCAAGATATGAGCAAAAAGAAAAGTCTTGATTGAAAAAGCAAAATGCAAGGGGGTCACAATTTCAATCTATATATCCGCAGATGATAGATGTCCTTACCTTCATATAAGCAGCTTCTGTTTCACCAATTGTTTTGTCATACTCATTTCTCGTTGCGATCTTCTTAGCAAGGCTCTCATTGAGTTTAGCTAACTTCTCAGTGAGAATACGAAGATCATTCTGAACCTTGGTCTTCTCCTCTTCTTCTTGTTTTATCTGTTTGTGGACATCATCTCGCTTCAAGCATAACTCTTCTATACCTGAAAATCAAGGAGTATAGTAATATTTGTACAATTATTTCTGCTGCTGTTATCATCATCATCATCCATATCATAGTTATATCTTCTTAAGTTATATGGCAACCTTGCCAATGTCTGCACATACAAGTGAATGTGCAATAAAGAGAGAAGGCCAAGTTTAAAATTCATAAGATTCACAATGCAATCTAGTAAAAAAATTATTACTGCAGCTGAATATATTTTGTATAAAAGCTGTGCTATATAAATTGATTATTATTATTATTATTGTAAAGAAGAATAAACTGAACAAGTGCTCAGACATGGGAACCTTCTATTGTTTTTGCAATTTCAAAATGACACAGGCACCTTTCCTTGCAAGATCTGATTCTGAAAATGAATTTGTTCTCGCTCAAATATATTTCAGTCAAACCCTCTATTTGTTACAATTTTTTCATCATCCTTAAGAGGTTAAGTATTTCACTTTTAAAAGTTTAAGTCTTACGTAACTGTTTTTTAAGTGTGAACAATTCTCATTTGGAAATTGATTCTGAAATGTTTGATTTTTCTAATTTATGTGGGTGCAATTTCAAGTGTGCGTCAGTTATGAGTCAAGGGCGTCACCTGTTTAAAGCACGACATGTCAAAATTTCTGTGGTGTGACGCAATATTACGTGTTGACATTGCCACTGAACTTAAGTTGCGCTTAAGTTAAGATTTACGAAGCCCTCTCTTACTTAAATTCAAAGCCACTCGAGCGGATCAGCCAAGGGGAGCGCGTAAACTCACTGTAAAGTGCTCAATGTGCAAAGTTCTTCGTGCTGGCAGAATTGGAAATTTTATTATGCGTAATCGGTTATTCACATCGCCAGCGTGCGGTTCGGGAATCCGAAAACCTGCAGAGCGCCGATGTAAAAAAAATGTCTGTGAAAATACGGACAATCATTATTTTTTAGGACGCAATTTTTCTGCGTTTACGAGGATATCCTTATTTATGTGGATGTTCCTCATTCTCGGACCAGCGCCCATATTGATTACAGGAACATAAAATAAAATCTTTGTCAAGTTTGTCAAGTTTGTCAAGTTCAATTCAAACAGTCAAATGAAATGGTCAAAGTAAAACTTCATTTTCAAGTAAAAATAATTTTAGGTATTTTAACAGAAACAATGCACCAAATATCAACCTGCAACCATAAATATTTGTCTTTAAAAATGTTGTCTAACATAAGCTTTCACATGTTGATAAAATATTGCACGTTAACTTCTTTAAATCACCGATTTCAAAAAATGTCCGGATACACAACCTGTCCGCACACAACGTCCGAGCTTACATCAAAAAGCTACATCGAAAAGCTACGTGTGGGACCACCACCGCAAAAATGCTTATAAAACGTAGGAATATTATTGGGTCTCGGATAGAAAAAAGAGATATTTGTGGAGCATTACAAATAAACATAAATCTCACATTTCACTAGTTCATTGTTATAGCTCTGGAGAGCAGCAGCTTGTTGTGTCATCTTAACTTCTTTCCAGTCGAATCCTCTGTTTTTTCCGTTTTTATTTTGTTTATAATGATCGTGACGTCACTGAGCTTGTTGCTTTGAACAATGAGTCCTTTTTATATACCGTATTTTGTTCATCATATTGTACCATTTGAATCCCAATAATTTTTTTTTTTATTATATTCAGTTGATTTAAAATTACAAAAATTATAACTGGGTGAAAATATAATTAATATTTATCAATTTACTCGTCTTTGAAATACATAACCTTAACCAAATTAGACCTCACATGAATGAAGTTATCGCTTTCTAATCGGGCCAACGTTAAAAGCCGATTTACCTATCATTGGGCGTAACGAACTATGGGCGATTCTATAGAAAAATTAAAAAAAATATTGATAGGACATCGTTATCAATGTATTACAAAAATGCCTCGAAGATAAATCCTTTAAATATCAATAAATAGATTTTAGTATCGAATGAAAAATAAGAGAAGTAGATTATAACCAAGCAAGCACTGTTGAAACTTGGGCAAGGGGGGGGGGGGGGGCGTGTGGAAGCAGAGGCGGCCCTCGGGGGGGGGGCTGGGGCATGTGCACAATACCCCCCCCCCCCCATTTTTCATCATGTTTAGTTGGTAAGTCCACTCCAAAAATAATTTGCTTTCAATAGATGCAGAAAAACAAGAGAAATATAAGGAACCCAAAAATTAAGTAAATTCGGAAGTTATGAATTTTTTGTTGTTGAAAATCTATGGAACTAAGAAAATCACAACACAAATTGCCAATTTGTTTATCAGTTTGTGACGTCATTGCCTCACTATTTATCAATTGCTTTATCCCATTAATTTCCCTTTTTATCCCCCCCAAAATTTGATTCCCCCCCCCCCCTCCCCGAGATGCCTTTGCCCAGGTTATATGATTTGTATCATATTGCGTGCATGACATTTCACAAATATTTTGAGAACTTTGAAGAATAGGTACTATTTTCTGAATATTGTATATAACTATTTTATCAAAATTCACATTTTTCATGATTTAACTGAAACAAATTACTCTATAATAGTGCACCCACACAAAACATATTACTTTTAATGGATGCTGGTGTGGGGAAATATGACTTTTAGGGAGAAAATTGGAAATTTAAGAGAAGATAAGATTTTATTTGACTCTATCGACCCGTTTTGCAGCACAACATATTTATAATACAGAAAGATGTATAAAAAAAAAAGTAAGATATGATAATAAAATACATAAACATGATATATACATTTTTATAGTTCTGTAATAAAACACAATAAACGTGAGCTAAAGATTAAGTTACACTATACAGTTTAAAGTTATAAGTCTAAAATATCACGTGGTTTGGTTTGTATACCACTACGAGTAACTACACTTTTATTAACAAAAATAGGAACCTGCCTTTCAGCCTTAGGATCTAACGAAAACAATTGTATTATTACTGTTATGAATTCTACGAGTTTGCTTAGTCGTTAAACACTATATCTATTAAACAATTTGTCCATGTAAAATATGCTAGGGTTGCTCACAACAAACTGTCGATCTATTAAGTATAACTGCCTTTCTTTCTTGAAAAAAAAAAAGGCAGACAAAAATATAGTAAAATTCGTCTTCAAAAACCTTTAAATTACAACAAGGACATTCAATTTTACTTTCTTCGGGATTACTTTCAAACCTTCCATTATTAATTGGTAAGCGGTGTGACCTGCATCGGAATCAATACAAAGTGATTGCACCTCTTCTATTCAACTTTACCAAATACTTTTCAAATAAAATTTCGTTTTTGATAATTCGGTAGTTAACACAAATGCGATTTGACCAAACATTTGACAATATTTCTTGCTTTTACATGATATAAAGAAAGCAACTAGTTGACAGTGAGGAAATAACGTCACAGACTGAGTTGCCAATTTGTCTTGTGATTTTCAAAGTTTCTCATGGCATCAAAAATTCTTAACTTTCTTAATATTAACTTTTTTTATTAGATATCCGGATTTGCTCAACTGACTATTTTTGATTGTTTTGTCTGATATGTCTGATATTTCTGCTTCTTTTTTAAAAAGATATTTTTGAAGTGGACTTGCCCTCTAATCAGTATCTTGTCATCCCTGACCCCCCCCCCCTCCGGATAATTTGAAAAAGTGCAAAAAAAGTGTATAGCAAATACTGACTGAAGACTGCAACTAACTTTTAGGCTCTGGAGGGCCCAATAGTGCAGCGTTTAGACTAATAAAAATGCAAAAGTCTGCTCACTCTGTAGCTAATACGCTCCCTCACATAATTTCCTTCAAAGTGTTCAAGATTATTGTAGAAAAGTGACGTGTGAACAAAAGATTTACATGTTTTTATACCACAGTTTGCAAAGGAATGTAATTTTTTAATACAACCAAACATCATAAACCTGTGAGGGGACAGTCACTTCCGTCATCTTCAACCTTCTCTTTCACTATGCTCCCTCGCACTGGCGTAAGGATGTAGCGGGCGGGGCCTGGGGGCAGTTGTCCCCTAATAAAATTCAAACGTGGTTTATTTATAATTCGATACCAGCCTCCTGGACCCCACCGGCGGCCCCCTGGATGCTCATCTGACCGTAATTAAATGCCTGAAAAACCTGAGCTTCTGGGGGCTCTGCCCACTGGACCCCACCAAAGGCCTAAGGCAGCCCCCTGGATGATATCCGACCGTAATTGAATGCCTGAAACCAGGGGCGGATCCACGTGGCGATTTTTTTCGGCCCGGGCCCCCTCTAACCCCAAAAACGGTAAAAAATAGGATATAACGTAAATTTAACCTTTTTTAAAAACAAAAAACAAAAGCGCCTCCCCCCTGATATCAACAAAAATATAGTGGTTCTCCTCTCCATGATCCTCCCCCCTCCCCGCTTGATGAATATTTTCTCACGAATTGGGAAACAAAATAAGTCCCCCCCCCCCCCGTTTATCAACCGGCCAGCTGGATTGGCCCTAAATTTTTCCTCAAAAACTGGAGGGAAAAAAATGTGCTCTTACCCCCCCCCCCCCCCCGCCCCTACCCCACTTATTCACCGGCCGGCTGAGTCGGCACTAAAAAAATTCTCACGAATTGAGCCTCCCCCCCCCCCCCCTCCCTCCTGCCACGTGCTGAATCCGCCCCTGTCTGTCTGAAACCCCTGAGCTTCATGGGGACATACGGGGTGTGTCGCTCTAATGGGTAACTTTTTCACTAAAAAATCCCTAAACATGGGTTAAATTTTTAACAAATATACCCCTAAATATGGGTCAGCTTTTTCAAAATCCTCCGGTTCTTGCCATGCAAACACCCGAAAATTTTGAAAAATGGGCTTTACTTCGAAAAAAATCCGCCAAAACTGTGGCCCTTAATAATGGGTAGGGGTCCGGGGTAGGGGTTTCGAGGCTTCAGCGGAACACCACCATCAAAACCAAATCTGAGTCCCCCCCCCCCCCCCCATGTTCCATTCACTACATGGTGTGATGCCACACACCCCCCCCCCCCCCCACTTTATTTTGTTCAATTATATTTTTAGGCTAATTAAGTGCAATAAATGCTCGAGTTTAGTTCCTAGTTATTTAATTTAGTGATACTCTTACTTAGTGCACCATTCTGTGCCTAGACTACGTCTGCCTGCATGTCTTGGAGGGGATCAAAAGACGTCATACAAAAATGAAGTTTTAAACCGAATCGATCCAATTAGCAGATAGATTTTTCTGACTATAAGGTTTGGGATGCGCCGCCGATGTATTTATAGTTGATCTCTTCTTTTTTTTTGCCTTTTTCATTAGGCCTATTTGCTTGTTGGCCGCTTGTCAGAGAATTTTAGGTGTATATGCAAATATCTTTATATACGTCATATAATATATTGCCTAACTTCATTTGGGGGTAATAAATATTGTCATATGAACACCGTGGTGACGGCACGAAACTAGATGTGCATATGCTATTCTAGATGATAATTTTTTTCTGTTCAGATTTTGTCAAAACTTCCTCAAATCTTCATCGAGTTTTTTTCTTCTAATACTAGATCTAGTTGTGATCTCACATTGTTCAAGTCGAGGGAAATTTGTCAAAAATGTAGGCCTATATCCTTCAATGAAAATCGTCATAATGGTAATGGTAGTACAATTAAATTGGCAACGCATACAGGAGCACCGATAAGGAAATAATGAGCCAATTTTCACCATGCTATGTTTTGCCCTGACGCAAGATTGCAGCGTATGATCGTGTTTTGCCATGACGTAATTTGGATAGGCTTGGTCGATCCCAAACCGAGCGCGTACCGTACCCCCATATTGCCCACTGTGTATTAAAGGAGATTTGACTCGGAATTAGCATTGCAATCGTAATAAAGGTGACGTCAAAATGGTGTTTTTTGAAGTCTGTGGACCAAACGAAGCCTTGATCATTTCAGGTACGTATATTCATGATATTGTGTGACCAATGCTGTATATTTTACTCATATATTTGGGTGATTTTTAATGAAATATAGCAAATGAATGCGCCAAACAAAGACAGTGCCAGGGCGATGCAAGAACGAACTCCCATCCCACTTCCACCAGGTCCGCGTCCACTGGATGGCGCTGGCCAGGGCGGACAATGTTGCATGTTGTGTATAGAGTGTGTATACATTTGGGATTGCCATTGGCATTATTACTATGAAGGGGTGACCAAAGTTCGCGGACATTTTAGAACATATTACAAAATGTGATATTCGAATTACGATTTCTCATATTCTACACAAATTTATTGATTTCAATTATAACCAAAGGGACGGCGAAGTTTTTAACTACAGATTAGTTCAACTAGAAAATTTTATCGTCGAAGGATTTCGGAGATATCGCGATCTAAAAATTCGATGTTCGATCGTTCGTGCGCGCTTGCATCTAAAAAAGTCATAAAAACAACGAGACCTAACTTCACGCACGGGGGTTTACAGTTGATTTATCAAAAAGTGTGATCCATCAAAAATAAGGTAATATCATAATTTGCAAGGCAAGATATCATACAATCAGTTAGTACCACTCTTTACTTACAATTTTGAGGAAATCTGCTCTCAAATTGAAGATTTTCAGACCCTTATCGGTAAGTTGATCATTTTTCGGAACGGACGCAAAATATTGCAAAATTTGCCGATCTTTTGTCAATATTTTCACAATTTCGTACCCAATTCCAAAGAAAATTTCAATTCTGGGTGATTTTATGTTCCTCTTTCCATTGGTGATATCAGATTTTCGTAATCTTACTGATTTTTTGAGATAGCGAACTTAGGTCACGCGCGAACTTTGGTCACACCACCATACATTACAGACTAGATCTAGGCTATAGCGTTGACCATAAGTATTTTTTGTTAGCCTCTTATTTGTGTAGGGTTGATGGTAAATCTCCAGATATCAGATTCTGCCCAAAGTAGAAAAAAGCCTGGAAAGAGAATCGATGAGTAGACTAAAGTAAGGGCGTTGGTCCGAGAATAAGGATCATCTTCATGTACGCGAACAGATGCGTTTACAAAAAAAGGGATTGCCCGCAGTTTCGCTGACGATTCAGATTTCCGATCCACGCGTTGGTGATGCAAAAAGGATTTTGCGATGATTTGCTTGATGCATTTTAGTACATTGACTTTGTTTGTACAGAGACCTTCACGTGATGAGCAATAAATCCTTGGGAAGACGGACAACCCATAATAGTAGACGGTGAACTGGGCGTATTTTATTATGCGGAATCTGTTTTTCGCAACACCAGCCCGGGGATTGGTAACTCAAAACCCACAGAGCGCCGAAGAAAAATTACGTTCACAAAATTGCGGACGATCCTGATTTTTTTAGGACGCATTTTGTATGTGTATACGATTACGAGGATATCCTCATTCTCCGACCGGTGCCCCCACTGAGAATAGTAGGGTGTCTGAACGATTTTTCAATTTTCCCTTTTTGGTTCGTTTTACACCATCATGGTTGGATAATTCCAAATTCCAAAACCGTGATATAGCCTTTTAATTCAGTGTTACTAGAATTTGTTTGCTTGCCTTGGTTTTTACAAAGACTGACAATGACAGAGAGTGAGACCTGTCTTGACTGGCATGGAAATATTTCAAGAAATTTTTTCATCTTCTTTGTGCATGCATGGCTGATCGTCAACGAAACGGAGTTAACTTTTTTGTCAACTCTGTTTGTTGCTACGGCTGGCAGCCAGTGAAAACAAATCTTTGAATCGAATCGGAAATGCAAGCATTACTTTAAACAAAGAGAGCCTTGTTATTCCTGGCTCAATTTTTCTTGATTGAGGTGTATTACAAAAGAGCAGAAAATGAACTTTCTAGAAATGTGATTTTCTCTTTGAAATTCAGATACCGCCCGCCAAATGACTTTTTGGTACCCTCTCTTCAAGTTTTTTTTTAATCATTCATGCATAACATATGCATTTTATGAGTTGAATCTAATTCTAAGCTTTACAAATATGTGTCATTTATTAATTATAATTGTGATTAAGCTAGATGATGAAACATCAATAATTCTCGGTTTCGTTTTTTCTTGGACTCACTGTCCAATGTAACTAGAAATTCAAGAGACTTTTATTTTTTATTCCTTTTATTTTTGAACTCATGATATTAATTATATTCTAGATAATGTGTGTGGCAAAAGAATTTTTCAAAGTTCGAGCAAGAACCGTATTATTTCAAAACTCAAGAAAAAGGTGGCGATGTCATTTTTACGTTACAAAAATAAAGGTTCCCATCTGCCGCTGCACACTCATTCACTTTTTATGTATTTCAGGATTGTTTACCTCAAAGTTAGCGTTTCGAAGCTTGTGGATAAAATTCACTAATATAAGACATTTCTCACTATTAATACTTTTTAATATTTTATTATTGAATACATTTTATCAGTAGGTCTACATGTATGTAGATCATCTTTTCGGCTTGTTTCTGATTTCCAGTGGTAAATAATAATTTTCTTTGTTTTTCAATGCAGGATGTTGTCATTCAGAACCATTGATGGTGTCTGGAGGCAGGACCTTCGTCATCCCCATCCTGCAACAAAGTCAACGGATTTCACTCAACACCATGACCCTCAGGATTGATACTGACAATGTTTATACCAGGCTTGGTGTACCGATCTCAGTCACAGGTATTGCACAGGTAAGGAAACCTCGACAGCTTGATCCGTTTGTGGAACTTGCTACAAAAGCACTTCGCTTGTCACATATGGAATCCATGATTCACAGTATTAACTTCCAAAACATCCATTTTACTTGCTTGTGCTTGTATATCTCTCTCTGAAATGAATGCAGTAGTCTGCCATTCAAATTCTTTGATCAAAGTAATATGTTTACATATTGGTATTTAATGAAATATGTAGTTGAATTTAGTGCTCTATTGTAGATGTATAATTATTAGGAAATTAAATCTGGGATAATAGCATAAAACAACAAATTTTCCTGTGGTATCCATTGCATGGATAAGTATAGAGTTCCCACTTATATTGGGAAAATCTGTTCTGTATTCCTGGTGCTTTCCTCATGTGGAACATCATTAGGAAAGATTTTCTTTTGCGACAGCCACCTAAAATCTGACCCTATACCCTAACCCTTACCCTTACCTATGTTATCATGTTTTATATATCAATTATCACATCATTGTGAGATAGATATCATTCTTAGTAGTACCCATAATTTTTTTTCCTTCAGTTTGGGCGACTGTCGCAAAAGGAAGTCTTCCCCATCATTACTTTAACTTATGTTTTTATTGATTTTGTTACCTTCAGGTCAAGGTTCAAGGGTCAAGCAAGGACATGCTGAAGGCAGCCGCACAGCAATTCCTTGGAAAGTCAGAGAGACAGGTCGAGCAGATTGCCATGGAAACACTGGAAGGTCATCAGAGGGCAATCATGGGTACCATGACAGTTGAGGTAAGCTTTAGATTTAGATTTCAAATAGAAACCCACACGTTCCATGTTCAGTTAACCCCGACCCTGGGTCTCAAATCACTTTTACCAAATGAAAATTTAGACTTCAGACTAACTTACTTTGTTCAGCCCAATTTTTAACAATATCTGAAACCATGCAACAGGGGAGTGTTTTATAAAACACCTTATGTCAAAACTTAACTCTAAGTTGGACTTAGATATTATGGAGAGCCTTTTGTAGCCTTATAATGAAATACATTCAAAGGCATAAATTCAAGTATTCTAGACTTTTCATAAATTCCATATCAAGAACATGAAATCTCTCATGATAATAGAAAATATGAATGAACATCTTATGCCTTTTAAAATAAATTTACAAAATATTTTCAAGAATGTTAACAGCTTTCCATAATTGCTAAGTCCAACTTAATATCTTTTTGAAACACCCCCCAGGTCTAAATTTTAGTAGAATACAGCCCCATGGGTTTTAGAATTTGGTACAAATGAGCTTTCTCTTCTCTCACACAGATTGTGTATACAAGTGGCTTATTACAAACAGGGTTGGGGGTTTTTTCGATACAGATACATTTTCTTATGTATACTGTGTATTTTATTTAAATTTTGTATTTATTAACTTGCAGGAAATTTACAAGGACCGCAAGAAGTTTTCCAAAAATGTGTTTGAAGTTGCTTCTTCAGACTTGTTCAACATGGGAATCTTTGTTGTCAGCTATACACTCAAAGATATCAGAGATGAAAATGTAAGTATTATTTCTGCCCTAGTCTTTATATCATAACTGGTCTAAGTTTGTGATTCTCTCAATTTGAGGGAACTACCTGCAAATATGAGCCATGATTTGTTTTGTTTTGACATGGTTTATTGATTAAAAAAAATCTTTGCAGTCATAAGAACTGATTGACTTTACAACTGAGATTTAGACAGAATCCATACATCCATAAGCAGTAAATGTAAAAATATACAATAATGATAAGTATTATTTGTATGATGAAGGGTTTTGAGCCGAGTAGAAAAGTCAGTGTGTCTTACGCTCCTCACAAAAGTACCCGGATGACTGCCGCATTTCTCCCTATCTCATGGTGTAGGGTGCACAAGCGCCTAAAAAGGTGGATACACGTTTAAATATGTATAGGCTAAGACAATGGATGTATGCGTGTTTTTTCCGTGGGTTAAATGTTGAAATTAATATAAATACATAAGAACATGATGAGGAATATTTAGGTACTAGATTTTATACAATAACTAGGGATAATATTGAATGGCTTTCTTTCCCAAGATGGAAGGTATATCACACTCACTTTGAAAGTATTTTACTTTTCATGTCGACATGAAACATTCTGATTAGCTTTTAGGATATACATGTAGATCCCACTCAAAGCCATTCAATTTTATGAAAATAATCAACATAAATTTGAACTGCTGAATATAACTGTTAATATCATCATCTTGGATGAATTATTAAAGGATATGGGTAGTAGCTACATGTACACGTATTTCTGTGAAAACTGTCAATTTGATTTAGGGTAGAATTAATAAGTTTTCATTCATATGTTTTGTGATTCATATTCCAGAGAAAGTAACACCAATAAAAAACAATTTCCATCAAAATCATTTCAAAGATTGAAGAAGGCAAAGACATGTATACAATCAGACTTCAGTTCTAAAGACCATGTTTGTTGTTGTTATGTTATCAGGGTTACCTGAAGGCTCTTGGTATGGCCAGGACAGCTGAAGTGAAGAAGGATGCTCGTATTGGTGAGGCAGAAGCAAAGAGAGATGCAGGAATCAGGGTATGTACATATTAAACACAACATTCACGTGACTTCTCAGCATGTCGTATGTTTGGATCATTTACTCGTATACAATAAGTTACAGTGAACACCATTCTTGCTTTGAACAGACGATATATGCTATCATCTTGCATAGCAATCTGTTGGTCAAGTGACTTCTAATGAATATTTTTAAAATGACTCTGGTATACATGTACAAAGCAGAAATTTGTATAGATTTTACCCTTACCCTTTACTTTTGGTCAATATTGTGAACTTAAATGTAAGTTTGCTTTAATGTTATGAAGCTTTCTTAATCATATTGTAATGTAAGTATAATGAATACATTCAAACCTCTATGGCCGAAATTCACAAAGGAGGTTTCTTGACAAACCTAGGTTTATGTGCATCATTTGACGCGTTTCGAACCATCAGACCAAGGTTCATACAAACCTTGGTCTAAAACGCGTCCAAACGCGGCATATGACGCACATAAACCTGGTTTGTCTACAAACCTCCTTTGGGAATTCGGGCCGGTGGGTTTGTGTTCTACATTTTACATGTTGATGTTTCATGAAATTGAAAACAGTTAACAGTATCTATATTCTCCTCATCCATTCAAGTGAACCAACTCATTGCATACCCTTGAATGTGTTATTGATAAATCCTATGCATTCAGAAATGATCATGATCTGGGCCCTTCTCTGCTCTCATAGGTGTTTCATCATCAAGACAACTAGCAAATCAGATTTTCTGTCTATACTGTCTATTTTTGTGTTCAGGATGTTATAGTTACAGCACTGGCGTACTGATGGGGGTGGGGGGGGGCACTTGCCAGTGATTTACAAGAGTTGCTGAAATTACATGATTTTCCCAGGTTTTGTCTCTCGCTTTTTTGTGAATTTTACTTTTTTATCCGTTTTTTGGAAAATGACAAATTCCAAATTTATAGTCAGGTGGTGATGCAGATTTTGTTCTGCCCCCCTAAAGTTTTTGCTGATTACCTCACTGAGTTGGAGGTAATGAATGTATGATCTGATTATTTGATTACAGGAAGCCAGAGCAATGGAAGAGAAGATGGCTGCTACATATCTGAACAGTGCTGAGGTTGCTAAGGCTAAGAGAGATTTTGAGTTGAAGAAAGCGGCCTATGATATTGAAGTCCAGACTAAGAAGGCTACCTCAGAGTTGGCCTATGAGTTACAGGTGGGTTGGTTAATCAAACATCAACAATATTTGGTTGAAATAGGTAGAAAATACAAGTAACATTTAAGTTTAACAAATTGAAGTTGCCTCCTTTAACCGGTTTCATACATACTACAGGAACACGAGAAGAGTTGTGATCTTAGGGATGTCTCGATGAACTATTGATCAATATTAATTTAGAAGTTCCTGTTAAGTAGAGGATTTTTTCAAACTTTTTTTTTTGTGTGTGTGTGTGTGTGCGCAAGTGCAAATTCAAACAGCTGGTCACACCAGCATGCCAATAAACGTGTTTCACTGCTGCTCAAATCATGATATTTATCACCGATCTATTCATTGACAAAATGGTTCTTATATATTGTTTGAGGGCTTGAATCTATCCTGTGCAGGATGTTTTGTCTTGTTCAAAGTCGTCATTTGGATGAAAGTGAATTACATCAGCTTGATCAAGCATTACATTCCCTCTAGACAGCTACTTTCTTAAAACTGTGGCTTACTCGTTATTCCTAGGGTTAAAACAAAGTGAGGGCAGCGAACAATCAGTTATGCTGGGCCTTCATTATGGAATACTCTCCCTCAATGGATTAATAATAGCAGTGTTGGTGAAGTGTTAAAAAACAATCTTAAGAAATATCTGTTTAATTTAGCTTATAATTGAATACTATTACCTTTCATGTCTGTACCTTTCCTATCACACTTTGTATAAATGTATCATGTATGTATTTCATCTTTTGCACAAGCTGCGTCTTGAGCATTTGATTGTCAAGTGGATTTGGCACTTTACAAATCTTATGTATTATTATTATTATTATTATTATTATATTTGTTTGTTTGTATACCAGGCTGCCAAGACCAAGCAAGCCATCAAAGAAGAACAGATGCAGATCAAAGTAGTGGAACGTTCTCAACAGATCCAGGTCCAAGAACAAGAGATTGCTCGCAGGGAGAAGGAACTACAAGCTACTGTTAAACAACCAGCTGAAGCAGAACGATACAGACTGGAAACCATTGCTAATGCTAACATGTGAGTCACTCACTCTCAATCTCTCTCTCTACCTGTCTAATCCTTCCTTCCTGTCTCTCCTTGCTCCACTAATCTCTCCACTAATCCCCTATGACTTCATTTTTAAGCTGCATCTACTTCCTTGTCGTACACACTCCACATTTTCTCAAGGTTTTATCTGAATTATCCTTTTGTTGTGACCTTGCTTCTTATTTTTCTCTTGTTTTTCTTCTCTCTCTCTCTGTCTGTCTGTCTCTCTATCTCTCTTTCTGTCTGTCTCTGCCTGCCTCTCTCTCTCTGTCTCTGTGTATCTCTGTCTCTATCTCTATTTTTCTGTCAGTCTCTCTCTCTGTCTGCCTGTCTGTCTGTCTGTCTGTCTCTCTCTCTGCTTTCTTATAATTTGCCCTCTTTCATAGTCCTCTTCAGACTGATTGGTATTACAATGTAGTTGTCCATGATAATAACATGTTTTTAATAAAAAATAGTTTTCCATTTTGTGCACATTATGTACACACTCATATATTGAACAGACACGCATGAAAATTGAAAAGATTTTTTTTTTCTTGAAACATCTTCTCTAAAGAAACCAGAATGAACAAAAGCGTGAAATGGTAAATCTTTTGGACACAAATCGTTAATGCTTCTGTAAATGGGTTACTTTATCTGTTCCAAATGTTGTCATTTTATTTTTTTCTTCAAATCATTATAAGTATAATACTTACATGATCATGTGATTTCATAGTTTTTATTCTTCTTGTTTTTGATAGGAAGCGTGTGATGCTTGAAGCTGAGGCAGAGGCAGAGTCCATCCGAGTAAGTCTGTCTGTCTGTCTGTCCTTATGTGTAATCTCCACCATACAGTTCACAAGCATCATGTAGTTTTTAACATGTTCTGCTACTCCAATGATCATATAATGATGATATTGCTTGCAAACAATCACAGACAGAGGTCCATAACAAACCGAACATATTTTACTTTACTTTTTATATTCAGAATTTAACTTCATTTCCGATATTGGACAAGATTTTAGTTTGTCTTTTCCTGCAGTATGCGCCATTTTATAGAAAGATAAGATGTCTAGATATTTACCGTTGCTCCTGATACTGTCCTGGGGAGGGGGGGGGGGGGGACAGTGATATAATACTGTTTTAATGTCTTCATTTTCATATAACATGACTCCTTTGGATTTGAATGGGAGTTTACTGGGAGTTTGTCTTCAGTGAGTTCAAAGAGATTGTGTTTGTATGCTAGGTGAAAGGAGAGGCTGAGGCGTATGCCATTGAACAGAAGGCTAAGGCAGAGGCAGAACAGATGGCCAAGAAGGCTGATGCTTGGAAGGATTATCAAGATGCTGCTATGGTGGACATGGTCTTGGATGTTCTCCCCAAGGTAGGTCACATCCTCACACTTAAGGCTCATTCACAGATGATGCACAAAACTACGGTGTTAACTTTATATTTATTTTGTACATGTAAATGAATGGCAAGTGGGGATGGAAAAAGAGTAGCTGCATGTAACACAGGTATTACATGTACTGGGGAGTGTTTCACAAGACTATGATCAACTTTAAGTTGGACTTAACTATGGCAGGCCTTTCGTACATCTGTCTTCTCTTACCATTTACTGGCATTGTTCTCTCAAGGGACGTACAAATCATAGTCGCATATCTATGGAATTTACATTTTTTGATAATTCATTATTGAAGGAAAAAATATTATCTAATGATCATAATGGTGAGAGCAACCAGTGGCATAAACGGCCGCCATAGTTAAGTCTAACTTAAAGTCGATCTTAGTCTTTGTGAAACACTCCCCTGGGTTGATAGAAGTGAAGTGCATTGCTCTTATGTCGTGAACATAAAATACAGTGGTTTAACACACCATATGTGGACAAGCCATTATTGGACAGGAAATCATGTTTATATGGCTTCAAGGCAAACCACAACGTTAGTCAAGGCCAGGAATTGATTGAAATTTGGTCACTGCCTTTACATATCACAGAGGAAATTCAGTGGAATTAGAAATACATTGTGCACTGAAAATCACATTGGCAAATTGCTATATTCCATGGTATGGTAGTGGCCATTTGGTAGGAATTCTCCCATTTTCCTGCATGAAGTTTTCACGTTGGTAATATCTTCAAAACCCATGGTGATTCATCAATCCACTTTGTCATCCCTTTTAGTTCAGGATTTTTGCAGGAGCTAAATTGATGACCTTTTGCTCTTCAAACTGGCATTAATTTATTATTTTCTTTTCATTGCTACCTTATTCTAATAAAACGTTAGGTCTGTGAAATCATTATACATGGTTATGACCTATGTTGAAAAGGTACAACATTACAAAGTTTGTTCTAAATAACAATGATTTCAAACCTATTAGCATGTTGTCATATTACAGACTTTGAGACTTTTTTTCCTTTTTAAAAGTCTTGGCATCAAACGCAATATCTCATGCAAAACAAATGGACACAGTAGGTGCAGAAATTGTTTCCTTTCTTTTCATGCTACAAAATATGTAATTCTTCTCTCAAATGGATCATTGACTAAAATGTGTGACTGTTTTAATACAGATTGCTGCCGAGATTGCTGCTCCGCTGTCTAAGGCTAAGAAGATTACCATGGTGTCCAGCGGCAAGGGAGATGTAGGTGCTCAGAAGCTGACTGGTGAAGTCATGGATATCATGGATAGGATCCCTCTATTGGTAGAGAATATGACCAGCGTTAACATCAGCAAGGTAAGCCTATAACCAAATACTCTCTTTTCTGATACACTTACCTCTTAGTGGTGTCGTGGTCAAGTGGATATGTCACCCGACTGTGGATCACAAGGTCCACGGTTCAAGTCCCGCAGTGGCACTATTGTCCTTTGGCAAGATATTATGTACATCTGCCATACTCGACCCAGGTGATGTAAATGGGTACCTGGTAGGATCATTCCTTGTAGTGCGCTGATAACGGCTGCTGGAGCTAAAGCTAGGGTAATAATTTCCAAAGGTCTTGGGAAGCGCATAAGGATGTTATAATGTGATATGTGCTATACAAGAACAGAACATTATTATTTTTATTACCATAAGCAATGTTGGTTCTGTATCCCCCTGAAGAAATTTCTATCAAGCTGTAATTGTTCTCAATATCACTTTCAATGTACATCGGGTACAATATATAATTCTTCAAAGTAAACAAAAAATACATTTGTTTGCAAAATAATCTGCTACAAAATAGAATTTCTCTTGTAGTTCCATAGTTAATAACTGTTGAAAAATAGATCAAGCATGGATTTACATGATGTATCTGGATAACGATGATCCTCTATTAAGACCTAAACATTGCATTGCAGAGAACGTTGAAAAACAGTATACAAACTATTCTGACCATTGACTTAATTTCATCATGTATTTATAATGAAACAGAATTCAAACAAATGTAAAACATAAAACACACAAATCATATTATAAATTTGAAAATTGATTCATATTGATTTGGGGGTGAAATCCAGCTTGGTGGTTTGTATGCCCTCGGGTAAGGTACTTTAAAGCGGGACTGCACTACTTGTAGCTACTTGCGCCCTCTATATAGCAAACAATGCCTAAGCGGTACCCGTTGGTCCCCCATGATCCCTTTTTCTTATGTTAATTGAGAGCTGATTTAATGAGATACCCACCTGTCAGTGATTACGCAGGGTGGTCTAATCCCTCATAATAATAATAATAATAATAATAATATTTAATTTTTATATAGCGCTTAATACAAATGTCTCTAAGCGCTTTACAAATATACTATTACCCCGGTCATTGGATTCAGTGCAGACAGGCTTTAAATAAAGACATTTCTGATCATCCTTGTGTCATGGTAAGTAAGATATCCCTGGAAGCATTAATGGAAACTGGATCTGGTTGATAAATGATTTAACCTCGTCTAAAGACTAGGCTCTAACTACAGTGAAACCTGTACAGAAAGACCATCCAAAGGAGACAAAAGAGTGGTCTTTATAGGCAGGTGGTCTATATACACAAGTTTTCCGAAGCACATGCTTCAATGAGGTGTATCGTTCAAGGAAGCCAAAAAGAGCAGTCTTTATATATACAGATGGTGGCTAAAGTAGGTTTGACAGTTTTACCATATTATACTCTTACCAATATGTTATCTTATCTTTGTATATAGGCCATCAAGGCTACCAGAGTCTAAGCAACCAATGCTACCAGAGAGAGTCTAAGCTTGGATCAGATGTGACCAATCCAGTATGCAGTGTTCTTACATTAGAACCACATTAGAACCACATTATATCCATATATGTTTAGTCATGTTGTGTCGGGTCAGTCAGTGATATTATCATCCATTCAATACCATCAGAGAGAGAAGGAATGTCATATGTGTACCATTGTTATCCCATCTATCAATACTGAGTGATTCTGTATGTATTTAGCTACCATTGAGTGTTTTATTCCATAATTTGCTAATGAATGGGATTTAATTTGTATTATATTTATATATGTACTGTTTGAAATAAATGGTTGTTCCAATATATTGTTACATGTATATCTTTCCTAAACAACAATGTACTTGTTGGATGGTGTACCTGTATACATGGAGAAGGGGGAGGGGGAGGGGGGTGATTATGCAAAGAAGTGATATTTAAATGTTTTTTAAAGAAGAATTGGCTTATATTCTGAATAGAAGTGTAGTGGGGTAATCTACGATTGCACAAATAAAGTTTGGTAAGGTGTATATTGGACAGTGCTCAAGAAGTAATATCAGGATTATATAGAACCAATTTTTAAATTACATCCCAATATTTTTCCAAGAATACTTTCTCATATAATAAAGTAATGAGGCTTATATAAGGTATGTTGCACTTAAGCAGGTGTGTTTTATTGGATACAAATATAGCCTTCATGACCTCAATGACTTAAATCATGCACACTGGAAAGACTGTTGTCAAGTGCTATTAAAGAACTGACTTATACATTTAAAGCAACCAGTCTTAATATTTCCTAAATCAATGAAATTGTGTGCTAACAAAAATGATCAAAAATCTGCTCCAATATTGCCTGCCTACCATATCCCATATATTAAACCATTGTACATATATGTATATTAAGATGTATTATTGTATTTGATATTCTTAAATGTAGTGTTTTATACTTATAGTAGTTGATTGAGGAAAGCATCGGGATGAGACTTGTTTGGTCTGAACTGTGGTTTATGACATGATGAGAAGTTTTTTTACAATCCAGATTCCATTTTTAAAAGTAGAGTTTCTATCCCTATACCCTTTATTTTGTTTGCCCCCTTAAAAAAATTGCACAAACATTTTGCCTTTTTATGATTGTTTTCCTCTGAACCAAATGTCTTTCATTCAGAAAGAAACCATTCTTAATGTTGATAAAGTAAAGGGGTAAGGGTCTGTAATATTCTTCTTCTCATAACAATTTGTTGAACCTTTTCTTGAAAGGAGACGCTGCAGCTTTTCATATACAGTACACTACGATAAGTACTTCCTAGCATTCTCTTTTGATTATCTTAGTCTAGTTCAACTTTAATATTTTCTTTTTAGAGATTCTTTCATTTTGTTTCAGGGTAGTGTGTAACTGGCTCACATAATTATGATCATTAAGACAACAAACCAAATGACCTGAGGAGATGACCGGAGGAGATGACCAGAGGAGGTGATGATACAGTGGTCCCTTTTCTCTCATTTCTTTCCATAGAATACGTCTGGTTCATGTCTTACCCTACCAGAAGTAATCTTATCTGTAATGTATAACCTATGCATATATACATCTATGAATTTAAAAGCATTTAAACCTATGTATCCAACTTATTTGTCATGTATTGTCATGCTTGTAGTATGCAATGGAAACATGTAATTATGATGAACTATTCATGTTCAATTCATTAAATATCTGAATTGGTTGATTCTTGTACAAATTTGATCATTGTTTTCAATTATCATTGACAGAGACAGCTTTGTTCATCTTAGCATATCATTATACTGCAAGATGTCAGGGTAAATTTAACAGACTGTTAAGGTGATAAACAGTAATTATCCTTGCACCTTTGAATATGAATCATAAAGTGAAAAGCATTCTTATGATTCTTACAAACAATTCATCTCCAATGTCATTGCAATCATCTTTTTTTTTTATTGAGATTTGTTCTGTCATGTAAATCATTTATCATTTGATTGAATTTGTCAATAAAATGTCTGTAGTTGTGAAAAGGTACCCTTTTCCAGCATTGGTCTCTATCATTTTTGTCCTCAACAGTTACATAACGGGATGATATGCCTATCCTCACCCTTAACCAGGGGTGGTATTCTGAGCATGACTTTAAAAAAAAAAATTCTTCTTCTAAAATTTCTAACAGAATCTGTATTTTATGGACTACATTTTATCTTAATCATGAACCTCTCGTGCGCCTATTACAGTTAGACACATGATACATGCAAATTTAACCATTACAGCCATCACATTTTACTTGAAAGTCAATTATAGGGACTATTTTGTCTCTAGGATGCACTGTACAAATTTAGTATAATAAAGTATGCAACTAGTAATGCAGTTTAAACAACCATAAACATTGGTGATATTTCTTAAGCAACTTTCTTGTAGGATTGTTGCATTTTAGTCAATCATATTTTCTGACGAATATATTTGCAATGATGAATACTGGTGTGCTGAAACCTCTGAAACAATCAAGGCTGGCAGAGAGTGATTCCTTGTTCATTGTCCCATCACAGATTGTCTCAAATATAGTCATCTGATGATGAGTTATTCTCAGAGTACATATTTAAAAGATTTTTAAGGGTATTTTCTCCACTGGTTTAATTTTTTTTTTTCTTCAATCTTTCTTTTTTTCAGTCTTAGAATTGAAATTAATCTCTAAATACCGCCCCAAATCTTATGTTATGGGAGAAATAATAATGGTCTGTTTTAAACTGCTTGGATCTATGCTCATTCTTGAATGTTTCAAACGTTTGTGCTGTGTTATGTAAATGAGTTGAGGTGAAAAGAGTGAAAATAGAGAGTCAGAGAGAAAGGGGGAAGAGAAGAGAAAGAGAAGTAAGATATGATACCGCCGTCATTCCGCCAACCTGACTCTAAACTGACTCCAACCTGACAGATGTTTGGCCATCAGGGGTATGATCAGTCTCAAGTCAGTCTAGTATTGGTCTAATCGGTGTGTAATATGATGGGCGGGCATAAAGGCTTGGTCACATGTGAACTGGTAAACTGCACCAGGTTTAAAATTTAAAAAATGAAGGTATTACACTTATATCATCATTTTTTTTAAATGCAATGATTTACCATGTCACGTCTGAATGAGACACAGAGCAATTCCAGGGAGCAAGTGAGAGGTTTGTATGACACGTAACCTGGTGCCCACTGCTCTGTAATCATCCTACACAAATGACTTCATAACGTCCAGAACCAAATACTTTACCAATGCCATAACCATAGCCTTTTTCCCGATTACAATTCTATCCCTAATGCTCCTATGTGTTAAGTGTAAATTGTATCATTGAGATAGTGATAGAGAGTATGAATTAAGAGTAGAGAGGAGATGATTGTATAAAGTAACCTGAGCCTTCATTTGTCATAATGTGTCATGTGATTATAATGTAGATGACAAATAATTGATGGATTTCCATGACAAATTCAGGGCTTGATTTTTCCCAAGATACATGTAGAAGAATGCTCTCACTAATGCATCTAGATTATTATTTTATTGATTTTATTTGTATAATTAAAAAATAAAAATTGTAAGTTGACGTATCCACTCTAACCAAGGCAGTTGGGGGGGGGGGGGGGCACATGTATCAAAGAGTGCTAACAAGCTAGCACCCCCCCCCCCCCCAGCTGCTCCTGCACACGTACACACAAAATGAACATGGAAAAAATGGAATAGGGCAGGAGCACAGTGCCCCCTTACAAATTTCAAATACCCCCAAAGTGCCCCTTTTTACTTTAGATAAGTGCTCCTTACGATCTCTGATAGGCCTAAGTGCCGCCTTTACTCTTCTAATTACGCCTCCTATTCAAATCTGAGAGGTACTCCTTTTACCTGATAAGTGTCCCTTTTCCTTTTTACGAAGTGCCCTTTCCCTTCTAATAAGTGCCCTTTTATTTTGACACATACCCCCTTTTCATTTCTAATAAGTGCCTCCAATTTTTGGAGGGATAGAAGCCCTTAATTTACCCTTCTCATAAATGCCCCTTTTCACTCATGATAAATGCCCTTATCAAAATCTGATAGGTGCCCCCTTTTCCTTTTTAATAAATGCCATTTTTCCTTCTGATAAGTGCTCCTTTTTCTTTTCATAATAGCCCTTTCCCTTCTCAGAAATGCCTCTTTTACCTGTGATAAGTGCCCCATTTATTTTGATGTGTACCACCTTTTCTTTTCTAATAAGTACCCTTTGCCTTCCTTCTTTTTTATAGGAACCCCTTCCCTTTTTCATCAATGCCTCTTTTCAGTTCTGATAAATCCCCCTATTAAACCTGATTGGTGCCCGTTTCCATTCTCATGTGTCGCTTGCTCAAATGAATATCCAGACCATTACACATCTTATTGGGCCATGTAAAGAGAGAAACATATTGAAATCTTCCCTTAAAGGTACCATGTCCCATTTGCAGGCCCGAAAAATAAAAAGGTTAAATTCCAATGACATTTAAAAGACAATACTAATTTAGAACTTCCCTCAAAACGAAAGGGCTTAAAAAATTGCCTTATTTAGTGGGAAAATAACGACCATTATAGTAATTGTCGAATCGACTTAATCGATTGCAATCACCTAAGTAATAGTCTGATTTTCAGACCCTTTTACAGAATGGTTGTACGTTTTGTGCTGCACAAAGATTCAATCAGTTAAATTTTGGCCATTAAGAAGTGGGTTATAGACAATCCTCATGTATAGGCCTACACTTGTTCCAGCTCATTTTATGTTATATACCAAAGAAAAAAAAGATGTCAGTGCAGTCACTCAATAGTGTCTGACGGTAGGGTTTAGAAGGTAAACAAGTTTCCTTGAATAATTTTGAATACTAGGATAGTAGGCCTACTGCTGTTTAAATTTCACAGATAGGACAAAGATACATGACATATTCATCATGCAAAGTTCTAAAATTTGATGTAGGCCTATGCTGCGAAAGGGACATAATGTAGGGTATAATAATTAATATACCAATTCTAAAAAACGGTACCGGTATATTTTCGCTTTAAAGTTTCCCCTTGTAAGTGCCCCTATTTTCCACAACATGCCCTTTTTGGTGCCCCCCTCCCCCACACACACACTTTGTAAGACACTCCGCCGCCCATCCCAACTAGTATTGCGAATTTTGATTTTTATGACCCCACCCTGGGAAGATCCCAGTCAAATGGGCGTGAATTGTTTGGCGTGTTTTGATTGGTCGTTGGCGTTGGTTCGATTATCACGTGCGGTTTACAAATACATGACGTCACTGCTAGAGGTTTATTATGAGATCGAGATCGAGAAAATTATGCAGGTTGTGATTGCTGACGGCTAGTACTAGTACTAGTTGTACTTGAGGCTGCTGAATATCATGATCTTTTCTTCTTGTAATTGATCATATCTACGATACTACAGAGCTTATTATTACACCTTACAGACTCATAAAAACTCTACGATATTGTACCATTTCTCAGTTAACGCGATCCCAGACCTCGTCGCGTTGTTTCTGCTGCCTGCTAGCACTAGCGTAGCCTCCACTCAACCTCCAAGTCCGGGAGCGCAGTCCACCGCTCACCGGCGTTGTGATCTGATCCGGTGCCGCGGCCGCGACAAGTACAAGCGACATCCTGACATGGAGACTTCGATATCTCATTGTATTTTTCTTCTCTTCACGACGACCCTGCTGGTTGCTACCAATGGCTATAAGCCGGTTATTATCATCCATGGGATGCTGGACGGAGCACCAGAAATGCACTTCATGCATGATATGATCATAAAGGTGCGTAATTTGTACTTCCGTAGATCTCGATCTAGATTTTCTAGATCTAGATCTAGAGTCTAGAGTAAAGTACCCGGTTTTCGGCCACTTAAGACAAAATCCTATTTATTGGACTCTTTACTTCCTATTTATTATCATTTCTTGTTTAAATCATGAAGCAAATATTATTATTATTTAAACAATAAAAGAATCCCAAAAAAAAATCACGAATTGCCATGACAATATTCATTTCAATTTTCACTGTTTTGGAGCCGGTTATCGGCCGAGCGTTTCAGTTTACGGCCGCATGTACAAAGTCAATAGGAAGCGCTCGCGCGCGCCGTGCGTTTCTGCGCTGATGTATAGCACAAGCGGGCGGAGCAGGTATCCCACGCCGGAGCTCCCGGGTGCTCGCCTGGCCGAATACAGGCACAGCGGTGATCGGAAGTTGGGGGCCGTTTCTCGAAACCGTCATAACTACAAGATCAACGACATCTCGCCACTGTCACGCAACTTGTCAGCTAAGTGTTTCACGAAGCCGTCTTTGCCAAGATGAGCGACAACTTCCGCGACAAGCGAGTTGTCACTGCTCCGAACCTGTCATATCTTTTTAATTGCTCTAAAGCGCCACCACAAGTCAGTTTGTTGCCATTCCATGGGCCGCGAAATGGACGATTAGTTTCACTATCATTTTGAGAAAAATATAAACGAGTTCGGTACGTAATTCTCTGGGATGCGAAATGCAAATGTACAAAAGTGAGAATACAAATTATACAGAAACTTTAAAAAGCTGAATATAAACATTAAATCACAAATCATTAAACTATAACATATAAATAAGAGAGGTAAGAATGTTACACACCGTTTTCCATAGTCGATCCATAGTCTTTCCTTAGGATACCGTCATACCTTTGGGGCGTATGTGCATTATTATTTCCTCTCTAATTACTTCTTCCAAATTATATTTTCAATATCAAATCAATTATATAACGAGTATTTATGAGACTCTAGAATAAAAACTGGCTGAGAAAAGACATTTTGCCTAAAATTCCTCGTCACAATAAAAAAAAAAGTACGTATTGATAAACTATCACATTACGGTATCCTTCAACTAACTTTTGATTCGACTGTCGAAAAAAAACACTCACCAGTTTTTCTTCAATTTAAGAATCTTTACAGAAATATGCAAATCGTTTGATGATGTAAATATGATAATGACACTATTTATTATTTATTTTAGGAGAATTTATATGTATATATTTCTTTTTGAACAATTTTAGCCCCAAAACTTGTTTTGGGTTATTCTTGATAAATCAAATGGATCGTGACAAAGACTATGTTCTTATAATAATAATACAATATTTATATAGCGCAAAATAAACATAAGTTTCTCTTTGCGCTGTACAAGCATAATTATAATCACATAAAATGAATCAACACAGAGAAATATACAAATCTTATACTACTAAAATGACTAACTTAACATAGTAAATAACATAATAAAGAGATAGCTAACATGGTCAAAAACAAAGAACGTAAGTCAGGATAGTTTAAACTAATTAATTAAGGCCAAAGAGGTGCGTTTTTAGTGAAGATTTGAATGTTGCAGCAGTGGGTGCCTCACCTGTCGTATGAATTTGGGGAGATTGTTCCAAAGGTTTGGTCCAGCAACTGCAAATGATCTGCCCCCATAGAATATAGTATTGGTTTTTGGTACACAAAGTAATGCTTGATTGCTTGAACGGAGGGTTCGGGGTGGGTGGTATTGTTTGAGCAAATCAGTCAGGTATGAAGGAGAAGAACTATGTTGTGCTTTAAATGTAATTAATAAGAGTTTGAATATGATGCGCTTATCTACAGGAAGCCAGTGTAGTTTCTTCAGAGTACTAGTTATACTTTGTTGGTATGGAGTGCGAGTGACCAGTCTCGCTGCAATGTTCTGTATCATCTGGATCCGGTAAATGTCAATTGCGGGAAGTCCAAACAACAAGCTGTTACAGGAGTCTAATCTGCTTGTTACAAATGCATGCACCAGAGTGAGTGCACCTTGCTTCGAGAGGAAACATCTGATTTTACTTATGCACCTGATTCCTGCCATTGCTGATTTGCAAACAGTTTTTATATGTTCTTTCAAGGTGATGTGCTGGTCAAAGACAACCCCCAAATTTCTGGCACAAGGAACAGGATTAATGTGGCAGTCACCGACATATACACTAGATAGGGTAGGATCTCGACGAAACTTGGATGTGAAATGGATAACTTCAGTTTTGGAATCATTCAAAGACAATTTGTTTTTCATTGCCCAAATCTTCACATCAGTTATGCAGGCTTTCAGCTTCTCTAACGATTCTTCACGTTCACTAGGCTTGAACACGATATACATTTGCGTGTCATCCGCATAAAGCATTACATTTACACCATGAGATGTTATGATGTCTTCCATTGGCGCTGTGTACATTGTGAAGGCAAGGGGCCCGATGACGGATCCTTGTGGAACCCCATGCTTATCATGGTAGGTCTGCGAAGAGGCATTTTTTATCATAACAACATGCGTTCTGTTTTCCAGGTATGAGGAAAACCATCGAAGAGCCCTTCCCCTGATTCCAAAGTAGGATTCCATTCTTTCAAGCAGCAGATCATGGTCAATCGTATCAAATGCTGCACTAAAATCTAGCAGCACCAGTACCGCATCCTGCCGAGCATCTAGAGCCATCAGGAGGTCATTTTGGACCCTGAGAAGCGCTGTCTCAACACTAAAGTGTTCGCGATATGCCGACTGGGCGCTAGGAAGGAGATCATGATCAGCTAGGTATTCCCTGATCTGCCTGGCGACGACCCTTTCTACCAGCTTTCCAACAAAACTGAGATTCGCTATAGGCCGATAGCTCGATACATCATCATGAGGAAGACCATCTTTCTTAAGTCTAGGTTGGACAATTGCATGTTTCATGCATGCAGGCACCTCTCCTTTCTGTAAGCTGGTATTCACTATTTTGACAAGAACTGGGGCCAGACAAGATATCACCTTCTTAAGTAGAGACGTAGGTATCGGGTCCAAATCACAGTAAGAATTGGATGTTCCCTTGACGATGTTGACTAATTCATCCTCAGACACTGTGTGGAACTCAGTCAGATACGAGGAGCACCGATCTTTGACTGGAACTGACAGGTCCTAAGAGATGGATGCATCTGTAGCTCCTGCCGTATACGCTTGACTTTTTCATCGAAGAAACTGCAGAACGACTCTGCAAGCTGGCCAGGAGAGTCATGGCATGGCAGTATTTGGCTAGAAGCATGTGGTGATGAGAGAGTCCGAACCATTCGATACAAGCCTCGTTGATCACGATGATCGATTTTCTTGAGAAAGTAGTCCTCTTTTGTCTGACGAAGAAGAAATAAATAGGACTTGCACTTCTCCTTGTAAATGTCCTTGTGAATTTGAAGGCCAGATTTGTAAACTGCCCTTTCAGCTCTTCTCCGCTCTTGCTTGGATCTCCTGAGCTGCTAGTATCGCGATATATCGATATCATGTCTGTCATGGCTTTGTGAAACGGTTTATCCACTTCATGACATCTCCGTAGGTCGCCGATAAAGATATGACTGTCATGGAGTTGGTTTCGAGAAACGGCCCCTTGGAATCTGAATTAGACAGACATATCGTGTGTGCGTCGCGGTGTGCGGCTGCATTGATTTAATACATGCAATGAGATACTTTTGAGCTTGCGACCAGCACAAAATCGGGCTCTATATCTGAAAAATACTTGAAATAAAGCTCATTTTATGGTACCCATATTTCTTACATACACACGTAAGAAACTCGATTTTTCAGATTTGGGTAGCGGGACCGCCGATAACATCGCTAAAATGTGATATTTTAGGATATATTTTTCATTGCAAATGTGGTTCTTCAGTGACACTGGCATGGTATGGTATGTGTGGGATATGTGTTATGCTATTATGCGATGTATTTTAAAGTGATTTTACCATGTATCCAACCAATTGGCCGAAAACCGGAGCTGACCGATTACCGGGTACTTAACTCTAGTCTATATCTCTAGACCCAGAGTCTAGGAGAAATTAAAACTGTAATTTTTTTTAGTTTGACTTTGATTGAGTGTAATTTGCGCACATGCAAAAATGACCGACTGCATTTTATCAGCTCCGATAAACTGAGAAACATCAAATTCTTGTGATGAATGTAAAAATTTAGCTACACAAATTTGTCCGAATTCGATGCTGACTTTAGGATCATGATGTACAAATTTGTGCATTGTAAAAAAAAAAGGCTTATGAAAAGTTGCCAACTGAATAGTATTGCGTGGGAGTTTGTTGCCTTTCTTTTCAGTCTTAGTTTTACAGAAGCCACTGTGGTGCTAGCATAGTTTATGTCTTTTATTTAATAGGCCTGTTTACTAATGTATTCACGGACCTTTAAATTTGCACACGGTTGTAAGCTCTGGCAAACAAACCGAGCGCAGTGTCTGCTACGGCCCTGCTACACACACTTTGTATACGGCGATGTGGGGAATGCGAGGAAAAAAAGGCTGATCATCGTCCTAATAAACTTCGTTTAAAACTGTTTGTTTTCCAACCTTAGGGTATATAATTAAAATAAATATAGTTTTTCTCAGTTGTACATGACAAATCTTCGATTTTATTTTCCGAAATCCGACGAAATATCGCAAAAATGGGAGGTAAGCATTGCTGTTACGGCACGTGTAACAGCGATTCACGGTACGCAGACAGACCCCATATGAAATAATGGTGTGTTTTTCATCCCGTTCCCCAAACCAAAGACGAACCTGGAGAAGTGTAAAATATGGATTAAGAATTGTGGAAGAAAGGTAGTTGAAAATGTCGTATAATCCGAAATCTGGTATACTTTCAAAGTTCTCGGTGTAGCCGGTGATTTTCATTGGGTCGTCGAACGAGCACCCCGCACGCTCCAACTTCTCCCGCAGCGACCGTGCGGAGTCGAAGCTCGCAAGGTCCGGGTCTTGGGGCAAAGCGATATCGGCCACAGCAGTCGCAAGTTGAACTAGTTTCTGTTTGTTGTACCCTGATGTCGTAACTCCTCTCTTTCTTAAATAATCGGTGAGCTCCTTCACTGTCCACTGCGAAAACGGCTTGCTGGAACTACAACTCGATGTCGAAGGCGATGCCATTGTAGAAATTAGGGTGAAAAAACGTCGCGGTCGCTAGCAATGGCTTTGTATGTGTATAGCGTAGCGGGCATGGAAAAACAATGTGGCGACCGTGCCGCACCACGCAAAGCTTGCCCTACGTAGTAACAATCGCTAGGGTGCGAGGGATTATGACGTCACTCGCATATCATTAGTAAACAGGCCTATTGCCCTTTGAAAAAAAAAGTCTATTCCTGATCTGCCTTTACAATTAGGATGCTGATTTGCAAAAGTGGGTCCACAGAATTATATTTATTTTTCCAAAGACAGTTGACAAGCTACCTCAAGCTTAAAGATGAAGTTGAGTTCTGGTCATGCGATTGCATTGTGAAAGAAACGGTGTGGAACCGACCAGAAAAGGTTGATCATCTAGCATATAAGAATTTGTGTGTATTGCAAGGTTCTGGAATCATCAAAATGATAAGAAATTTGGCCAAGTCTTGGTAAAGTTACAAACACTTACACAGAAAGATGTATATGGGACTACACGAACACGTGGCGTAAAAAGCCGGCCCCCGATTTTTACGATGTTACATGCATATTTAGAATATGAAGGCATTTGAAGAGCCATGCTTTTCAGGGAACATGTCTTAACTGATGTTCTTCCACACTTGCAAAATAAGAATGAGTAATGCTCACAAATTATTTTTCACCTCTTCCCAGAACTCAAACTTCTCTTTAAAGCCAGCATGTTCCGCATTTATAGACACTGTCTGCGCATTTTACACTACATTGAATCACCACTTTCATAAAGTTGTATTCTTGTGCACACTGGATGACTCCCTTTTCAAGCTTATTTATAACTGATGATATATTTTTAATTTTTTATTTATTTATTCATGGTATAAAACAAAATATGATTAGCACCCTAAGTCAAGTTTTAATAAAACATAAAATACAATATTAAATTTGTAAAAGTGTGCATATGCCAGATGATACTCAGAGTACATACATGAAGACCACTATGGTTAAAATACTTTAAGAAACACAAAAACAGAACAAATATATTAAAGTCATAAAACAGAGAAGTAATTGCACTTTTGATTATAAATTATGTCCATTGTTCCCACCATTCTTTCCATCCTCATCTTCCCTCTCTCTGTCCCCTTCTCTCTCTCTCTCTCTCCCTCTCTCTCCCTCTCTCTCTCCCTCTCCCTCTCCCTCTCTCTCTCTCTCTCTCTCTCTCTCTCTCTCTCCCTCTCCCTCTCTCTCTCCCTCTCTCTCTCTTCCTCTCTCTCTCTCTCCCCCTCTCCCCCTCTCTCTCTCTCCCCCTCTCCCCCTCTCTCTCTCACTCTCCATCTCTCTCTCTCTAGCATGTTTGTTGTTGGCTTATGTATCAATAGATATTTGGTTTAATTCAAAATTCAAAAGAGAATACAATTCTAATGAACAGTAAAGTTAAGAGTAAAAATATTGCATAATTACAAACCATCAAAGTGGTCAATAAAAAATTGTATCTAATTATTTTGCGAGGCTGGAATGGCGTGACAAATTGTACATATTGTATAATGATTAATTTAGCCCTAAATGATTGACAAAATGATGTGATAAAGACATTAAACTGAGGACAATGGGATATTGCACAACCAATTTATGGGCCCGACCCCCCCCCCCTCCCTTTATTTTAAATTTGCATTCAAGAGCCTGATGAGGTAGGGCTCCATTTTGCAAAAGACTTCAGATTAGGTTGGCCATTTCGCAGTGATCAACAATGTAAAGTTGATCGCATGGGAGGAAGCCAGTGGTGAAAGTTTGATGATGGGATGGTCAATTTTTTGCCCAGACTCAATGCTAGTCTCTCTTGTCTTTCATTGAGAGTAGGCAGTTCCAATTCTTTGAGAGCATGTTGCTAAGTACAGTAGTGCAGTGAGTCCAAGCACAAGGCAGCATGCTCGTTTTTTAAAAATTCTTTTAAATCTGATTACTTTGGTTTTCATTTATCCCAGCGTGCCAAACTGGAACACAATATTCTACCACAGGGCAAAGTTAGGAACAGTAGAGACATGATAGATCATTTGCTGGAAGTTTTAATCTGTTCAAAAAAATTTGGAGCATGTGTATAGTCTTGTGCTTGCTTGCTTGACAATAATGTGAACTCTTGTTACAGCATATTTATCTTAGCCTACCGTATATAGGTTTGATGTCATTTGAAAGCTGATAACTCTATTCACATGTGACAATGCCAAAAGTCCATTATTCAATTATATGATATATGAAGTACTGAGAACTATTGTACAAGGTTATATTAATTCCTTTATTCTACCTTCATCAGGCACATCCTGGTACAAACATCACAATCCCAAATGCCTACAGTTACAAAAGGAGTCTAGAACACCTATGGGATCAGGTCCCAGCATACAAAAAGGCTATTCAAGATGTGATCAATGAATCCCCTGATGGTGTGAATATGGTCTGCTACTCACAAGGTACAGTAAAACAAAATCTTGGTTTCAAACCTCTGACCTTCTGGTCACGAGACCACTGCTCTACCACTGAGCAATCACTTTCAGTTTCAATCAACTCTATTAGAGCTCTTAAAGTTGATGAAGATACATGTATTTATCAGGCACCAAACTAGGTTTTGATTATAAAGAGACATCATTTTTATTAATTGATGTGAGGATGGCTCTCTAGATCGGTTTCACTTTCAATTTTCACATAAACAGTAAAATGTAGGCACAAAGGTGTTTACTGAAATTAATTCTAGTCTAATTAATTCCTCATCTGTGCAATTATCTTACACGTGATGCATTACATGCAGATTTACTCTGTCTATCGTTTATTAAAAGACTTGTAATTTACTATCAGTTTTGATTGGAGTAGGAGAATGATAACAGGAGGAAACTAAAGTGAAAGTAGGAGCTGTATATTAATTACCTCTTAATGGTGACATCGGAATAATGATCCAGGCCCACCCATCATGATTAACTAATAGATTAATAGACTAATAGATTACAGTGTATTAATGTCAGTGAAGTAATCATGATCAGGAAAGTGGTCAGTTAGTCATTTAAATTACTTTCAATGAAAAGTTCTTATCTGATAGTCTTTTTTTCTCCATTTGGCTTATTTGCCATGGATATGAATAGCAACCATCCTGCAGTATCAAAATATGTAATATAACTAGCAAACCATTTACCTCCTCTGGTATTAAACTAACACCATGACTATCAAACATTCATACATGTACTAACACTTTTAACCCATCCAGTGTGACTCGTGCAATATTTAGTGAACAAAGTATCGTCTCAGTACATCTGTTATATAATATACAGGGGTGTATGCAAAATACCTGTATACATGTATATGGAGAAATGGTGCCATGTAAATGTATGATTCATAAGTTTGAGTGCGTCAGTAGGAATTGTGTGCACAAGGTACTTTTGTATGGTTTTGGACCAAATTTGAAGGTACCGCGTGCACACAATTCCACCGACCCATGAATTATGTGAATACTACCGTATGTGAATTATGCAATGAATTGAAACTGATTATACTGTTATTTGCATTCTTGTGCTATAGATTTTTTAATTGGAATTGATAATAAATGAAGGAATGAATAGGAAAAGTGGATTTGCCATGGTATTAGGAATAACATTAATCATCTTTAAACAGGTTAAAGTGTTAGTTCTTTTTTTCTTCATCTACTTGTTCTTCTTTTTCTCCTTCTGCTTTATTTACTTTTCCAGGTGGTCTGATGTGTAGAGCTATCATTGAGAAATTGGACAACCATAATGTGGAGAATTTGATCCTTCTTTCATCTCCACAAATGGGTCAATTTGGAGGTGAGATCTAAAGTCAGTTGGTTCCCCCTAGCTCCCTCATTGCTGGGCTACACCAGGGCCACATCTTACAAAGAGTCGCGATTGATCCAAATCAATTGCAAGTCCTCCAATCAATTGCAAGTTTTCAGTCTCCTATCTATTATGTGTATAGTTGCGATTGATATCAACTCTTTGTAAGACGGGGCCCTGGTCCATCCCATAATAGATACAGACACCCCTATGTAAGAGTTACCCTGCATGTACACAAAATAGGAACACAAGTGTGTCTTTTCTTTATTAAGCTTGCAAGTATCAATATTTGATTCCCTAATTATTAGTTACCCCAAAGAATCACATTAATTGGATGTTCTTCAGAGTGTCTTAACACATGTACATGAATGTGCAGCCTTTTATTCAACCTAATCCAGTAAAGAAAGATCATTTAACAGGCATACATAACATACACTGCACATGAATACTTATATAAAATATATTATCTGATTTGAATGGGAGACTGAACATAATACATAAATACAGGAAGACAAAGAAAAGAACCCTGTTGTACAGGTACAAGCTCTGTATGTAGATTGCCTAGTATTCCAAAGGTTTATTACTCAGGGTAGATTTTATTGACTTGGAGCACCCATCTAGCCAGGTCCATGAGGCTATAAATAGGTAGATCATCCCACTCAAGTTTGAATAGAGCTCATAAATATTCTTTTGTTGGCTTTTATGAGATTTATCTGATTGCCTTCTGAAAGTTTGCTGTACATTTTGAAAACTACAGTTAGAATGATGTAATAGAAAAAAAAACCTGCTTGATGGTAGGGCTCATTATGCATGCAAAAATAGTTCATGATCGCGTGATCTCAAAAACCGATTGATGGATTCCTTCCAAACTTTGGTAATGTACATTGTATTTATCTTGCAGAGCCAATGAACTGATTAGATTTGGGGGTCACAGGGCTCATTATGTACGTATGCAAACATAGCTTGTGATCCAATTATCATAAGAACCGATGGACAGATTACCATCAAACTCAGGACATGTATAAATCTTGCTGAGCCAATGAACTGATTAGATTTTGGGGTCATGAGGTCAAAGGTCAAATGTCATGGGGCTCAATATATATGCAAAAAAAGCTTGTGAACGCATTATCATTCGAACCGATGGATGGATTACTATCAAACTCAGGACATGTACCGTGTATGTATCTTGCAGAGCCAATGAAGTGATTAGATTTTAGGGTCATGAGGTCAAAGATCAAAGGGTCATCCATGCATGTACCGTATATGAAAAATATCTTGTAATCAGGATATTCTGAGAACCTGTTATTAGATTACAATCAAACTTGAATTTAAAAAATTGATTCTGTTTTGGTTCCTAAAATCGCTCTATGGCGGAGGCATCATTTTCGACTGTGAGCGGTCGAAGATCCATCTAGTTTAAATCTACAAACAAAACAATGTCTACATTTGCATATTAAACATGATGTTTGCCCCAGGTACACTGTAGGTGGTACAGTACGTGGTTCATCAGGGTGTCCATGAAATGGAATGCATCCATGACCTGACCTGTTTGCTCCTTCATTCTTGTAATTTGATTGATAAATACATAGATTTACATTTCTCATACTTTGTTATCTGCAAATCTGCTTTATTTTGCTGATTCTCATTGTATACATACTGTATACTCTGCTTTTTAAACTGTGTCCACTTTTCAAACTATTACTGAAATCCAATCTTAATCACATTCATATTGAAAAACAGGCATACTCAAAGATTTTTAACTTTTTCATATTTTCTGAATAAATATTCATACATGCTCTTTCCATACTGTACTTCTAGTTCCATATATGCCTAACTTACGTAAGTACACTCGTCTCATATCAGTATTGTCTATTATGTGTTTTTCTGTATCCCGGTACATGCGCTATTTATTGTTTGTTTTCTTCATTTGTATTTTTTGAAATTGAATAGATCCATGACCTGGTCTGTTTGCTCCTTCATTCTTATCATTTTGATACATAAATGCGATTCATATTGTACATGTACATTTACCTACATGTACATTCACTCAAACTTTCATCAACCCCAGCTCTTCACTGTTAAAGGCCCACTGCACTACTGGTAGCTACTTGCGCCCTCTATATAACAAACAATGCCTAATCGGTGACCATTGGTCCCCCATGATCCTCTTTTTCTTATGTTAACTGAGAGCTGAGTTGATGAGATAACCACCTGTCCAGTGACCTTGCAGAGCGGTCTAATCCCTCCTGTAAACTACGGCAGATAAGCTTCAAAGGCTAGCACCTAAGTTAATTTCCAGTTTCCGCTCTTAGAATATACTTTTCTCACAGGTCATTCATATACAATGTATTTCAGATCATAATTCACTATATCACTATTTCTCAGCAATTTTTTCTGAATATCTGTTTAAAAAATGGGCATGATGTTAATCTACCTATACCATTCTTATGGTAACATAAATAATTTTTACATTTCAGGCAAATTTGTTTGATTCATTCAAAAGATTTAGACTTTCTAGCTGATCTAAAGGAATAAGAGCTAGATGCAACACCCCCATCAGTTCACACACAACTAGTCATACAAAATAGGGGGTCATGCTCTGCACTGGGGTGGGGTCAAGCTAGCTCTGGAGTGGGGAAGGGTCAAGCTAGCTCTGCACTTGGGTGGGGTCATGCTAGCTCTGCACTGGGGTGGGGTCAAGCTAGCTCTGCACTGGGGTGGGGTCAAGCTAGCTCTGGAGGGGGAAGGGTCAAGCTAGCTCTGCACTTGGGTGGGGTCATGCTAGCTCTGCACTGGGGTGGGGTCAAGCTAGCTCTGGAGGGGGAAGGGTCAAGCTAGCTCTGCACTTGGGTGGGGTCATGCTAGCTCTGCACTAGGGTGGGGTCAAGCTAGCTCTGCACTGGGGCGGGGCCAAGCTAGCTCTACACTGGGGCGGGCTCAAGCTAGCTCTGCACTGGGGCGGGGTCAAGCTAGCTCTGCACTGGGGCGGGTTCAAGCTAGCTCTGCACTAAGGCGGGGTCAAGCTAGCTCTGCACTGGGGTGGGGTCAAGCTAGCTCTGCACTGGGGCAGGGTCAAGCTAGCTCTGCACTGGGGCAGGGTCAAGCTAGCTCTGCACTGGGGCGGGGCCAAGCTAGCTCTGCACTGGGGCGGGGTCAAGCTAGCTCTGCACTGGGGCGGGGTCAAGCTAGCTCTGCACTGGGGCAGGGTCAAGCTAGCTCTGCACTGGGGCGGGGTCAAGCTAGCTCTGCACTGGGGCGGGGTCAAGCTAGCTCTGCACTGGGGCAGGGTCAAGCTAGCTCTGCACTGGGGCGGGGTCAAGCTAGCTCTGCAATGGGGCAGGGTCAAGCTAGCTCTGCACTGGGGCGGGGTCAAGCTAGCTCTGCACTGGGGCGGGGTCAAGCTAGCTCTGCAGTGGGGCACAGTCTTCATTATACTGTGATTAGACCTTAGGGCCAGGGTGAAGTGAAAGCTTCACATCGGACCTCTAAATAACCTTACTGATACAAATGTGTGATTTAATTAGAATTTTTATTATGAACTTTGTACTATAAATTATAATCTATACATTTCTATCAAATTTGTTTGAGATATTGTTTTTTGACTTTTTATGAGACATTCTAATTTTACACAAATATGTACTATCCTGGTTTACTCATTCTCAATTTTGCACCGAGTCTGAAACGTCACTAGTATATATATCGCTGAATTAGCCCAGAGCCCTTGTTACTTTTCATTTAAAGTTGTCCCTTTCACAATTTGAGTGCCCCGAATATACATACGCTGTCTTACTGCTTGACTACTGCTCACTGTCATGACTACTAAAGCACACAGCCCTAATCATAAGGGCACATACCTCTTGTGAATACATGTATCACATTCCTTTGAATTTCCCTCTAGTACTCTCACTGCTAGAGTGATGGAGGTGTCGTGGTATAGCAATTCATTCACTTGACTCTCAATTCTAGGGTTGGGGTTCGAATCTCAGCCCAGCACTAACATCCTTTGATCTACATTTGCCACTCTCCACCCAGGTGTAAATGGATACCTGGCAATCTTTGGGGTAATAATAATTGCAGTGCCCTCAGGAAGAACAGCATTGCTGCTGATGACACTTCCCTGCGTAAACAAAATAATTATTATGATTATTATTAATATTGTTATGTGATGTAATGTTATCAATTTCGCTTAGTTCATTTTAGTTACTTCGGTAAGTAAGTTAGTACATCATGTGACTTTAAATCACCTCATGTATTTATTAACCTTTTCATGTTGTTCATGTGTAGATACAAGTTATGTTCCTGAACTTCCAAGTACTCGCACCGAGGTCTACAGGTGAGTAGGGTCCTATCACCCTATCTTGAATGCACCCATGATACATGTACATTCTCGCTGAAAATAAGTCTTACACATAATCAAGTCTGACTTGAGTTCAGTGTGCACCGTTTTATGTTATTCTTTATTTTCTTCATACTCCTTATCTGTTAGCCCATAGAAAGCCACGTAAAGTATTTTGAGGTCGGTTTTTATACATTTTAGCTGTAGGCTACACAAATGATTTTTCTGGGTGATTCAAATTCAATGGAATTATCTCAACTGGATACCAGTATGCAAAGAGGAACCTACCAATGCCATAGGTCTAGTGAGAACATGAATAGTGGTCATTATGCAAAGACAAAGAATGGAGAGAAAGATTGCAATATGATATCAGGAAAAAAAGGAAATAAAACAAGAGAGAGATTGAGGAGTGATGATACAAGCTATATGGATCATATCAGAGGCGAGATACCGGTGTAGTCTGATGATGCAGCTGTTGCTGTCAAAAGTCTGTTTGATTCAACCCAATTCCTCGAAAAATATTACTCAAGTGAATATGACTACAATTATCTGGATCAACACAGAGCCGAAAAAACAACAGATTTCTCAATTATTCTTGAAAGTAGAATAGAAACAAGCTATGACAAATCAACAACAGTATCCTTAATTTCTTAAACAGGTGGTTCTTTCTTTAAATATTCAGAGACTTTTTAGTTTGTAGCGCAGTAGAATATACTATGTTGAATAGTTTCTGCGCTCTATAAATGTATTATTATTATTATTTGTATCTGTCTTCTGAAAAGTATACATGTACATGTACATTACCTCAATTAATTTTTACATACAGACCAACAATCATGATGAATAATAAAATTGGCTGATTAATAGGAATATTAAGAGAAAAACAAGGAAGTAGAACATTGAATCATTTTCGGTTTCATATCTTCTCTATACTAGGATTTGCTATGATCTCAGGGCTATAGGACAACTGATCTCTGTCTGTGAATATTGGAATGGTGAGTAAAACTAAACCACAGGTTTCAAGAATTCTTTTCCTGTTATCTTTAAATTTGAATGTGGATATTGTCACTTACATATATTAGAACAAAGCCCATTTATAGTTTATACAATCTCTAAATTTTTGTCAGATTTATGTACAACTCAAGTTGTCAAAAAGAACATAAAAACGATTTTGAGCTGCTCTTTCGCACACGCATAGCAGACCGCTGTCCATGATCAAGAATCGTTTTTCGTTGGGTGGTATATGAATGGAGCAATACTTTTACTCTGAAATCAAATGGAAAAGAGAACAAAGGCATTCCACTGAAGTTACAGAATAATACACGATTTCATCAATACATCAATTTCAAATGTCAAAGCAGCGATATGCGGTTAGAAGTTTGTAGAGTCAAGGAAACCAAACTTTCATCTCACATTGTGCCATATGGCTGATTACATCTTTATCCTTACTCCAGTAATTACATCACAGCCTTACATAGCCCTAATTGCCAAGCAAAGAAAATGAGGTCCTTTATCTTTAGACATATCTCTACCAGTTTTCTCTCAGACATTGTTCCCTCTATATCATCGTTTTGACTTTTGACCAATGATATTTTTATCTCTGGCATTTTTGGTTATTTGTACTTTTTGGGTTTATTTTTCAGATCCATACCACCAACCAGAGTATTTAAGGAGCTCAGATTTCCTTGCAGTAATCAATAATCAAAGTGCTCATAGCGAGAGTCAACGTGAGTATTGTGTCCTTATTCAAATGTTTATTATCAAATGTTTGCTCCCCTATAAGAAATCCTGCTCCATTTGCAACTTCATGATGTAAAAAGCTAAAAAAGTTTTTAAAAAATATTTTGTTCAATTCATTTCAGATTTACACAGCTTAAAGCTAAGAATAGTAAATTTTGGCAGGTGCACTTGTGTATACACTGTAATTACCCATTTTATGGCAAGGAAATCGCTAACTTCTCAAACAATGATAGTACATGTAATTTCAATGAAGAGAACAGAAGTTAGCAAGTTTTCAATGTCAAAGTTGAACAATATATCTTTTAAAGATGTACATCCAGTACTTAAGATTTGATTGATTTTTCAATGTCAAAGTTGAACAATATATCTTTTAAAGATGTACATCCAGTACTTAAGATTTGATTGATTTGATTTGAATTTATTTCCATATTTCTCAAATAAATTTGAGCAAGTAATTATAAAAACAAACAATACATTCAAAAACAAAATACAATTAAAGGGGAAGTCCACCCTGAAATTAAGTTAGTTTTAATAGGAGTAGAAAAATGAGAGAAACAAGTCAGTGAAAGTTTGAGCAAATTCCGATTAAAAATAAGGAAGTTAGGATTTTTGAAGTTGTGATCAATCAAACACAAATTGGCAACTCTATGACGTATCATGCGAGCTCAACTTCCATTTGCTCAGTACTAAAAAAATCTAAAATTTTCATTTTCCCTCAAGAAAAATTTCAACCATACATGCACCCTAAATATAATAATTGCAAATATGTTTCTATACTCCCCCTGCAAGGAACAAATATATATTCCGTCATCAATAACGAAGAAAACATGATTTTATGGAATATTATGCACAAAGCAAATGAAGGAGAGCTCGTATAATAAGTCACAGAGTTGCCAATTTGTATTTGATTGATCACAACTTCAATAATTCATAACTTTCTTATTTTCATTCAGAATTTGCTCAAACTTTCACCCACCTGATTTTCTTATTATTCTGCCTCTATCGAAACAAACTTATTTTGGGGGTGGACTTTCCCTTTAAATGAATAAATTGGAGACTAAAGTACAATAAAATATTACATAATCAACAATTTGTTTGTTATTAACATAACATGAAATATGGGGGAACCAAAAAGAAGCAATGCTTGTAAAAATATTTGGTTTCCAGGGGTAATTGTGTCTTATCAATATTAATCAAGAAAAATGTAATAAAAGAAATCGAACAAGGTAAGAACAAAAAAAAAAAAAAAAAGAATAAAAGAAAAGTAAGATGGTATCACAAGTTAATAGAACTCTAGATTGTAATAATAAGCTTTCATTTTGTATTCAATGAACCTTCCAGAATGGCGTAAGAACTTCTTGAGGTTGAAGAATGTTGTGATGATAGGTGGTCCAGATGATGGTGTTATAACCCCTTGGCAATCAAGGTAAGTCACTCTAAGAAATAAATATCATTTAGCAATCATATGGGTGTTAATAAACCAAGATGAGAAGACCATTCATTCTAATAGTAAGAACACATTCTTCTCATAGTTTCTCGATGTGCACCAGTATGATCAGTTTAATAGAGAAATGAGCATTCTTTCAAAGCTTACCGGTATGTTTACAAACATAGATATTCATGTGTACCTGATGTGTAGCCCGTATTATTTCAAATGCAAGAAAATATGATCATGTTTCTCCCTTGTTAAAACAACTACACTGGTTACCTGTACATAAGAGAATAATGTATAAAGTTTCACTATTTGTTTATAAATCCATGTATAACCTTATCCCATCCTATATTTCTAGTCTGTTTTGTCCCATCCAGCAATCAAGATATCCATTACGTTCAAGGTCAGACCCCTTCTTCTGCAAATCCCCCGCTTCAATTCGAGGAAGGGTCAACAAAATATAATTTTTTTCTGGTCCCACTATTTGGAATAGTCTCCCTTTAAGCATTCGTTCTTGCACCTCAGTGGCATCATTTAAGAGAAATTTAAAAACTCATTTGTTTTCTTTGTAATGCACTTGGAGAGTATATAACTATTCTGTTTGTATTTTAAAATGTAAAGCGCCTTGAGCATGTTCATGTAAAGGCGCTAAATAAATACCAATATGTATGTACATGTATGTATGTATGTATGTATGTAGCATGACCAGTCAATTCACCTTGGTAATGTAATATCATGTGATTTTGTCAGAGACTTCCTTCCTGGCTCGATGAGTATTATGTACCTGAATTACATACAGATTGATAATGATCTTATGAAGGCTCAGATATGATTTAAACATGATATCGTCGCCTGGCTGGCAGAAGGGCATTAGCTCGACCTTCAGGTAAAAAGGGTTTAAAAGCAGAAGGGCGTTAGCACTAAATCGCCTCAAAGTTTTATAAAACTGACTTATTTCTAACAAAATATTGTGGCCGTGTTCTACTATAACATTTCTTTTAAGTCTTTTAAGTTTTACATCAATTTTTCGGGACAGAAAGCAGTTTAAATATAAAACAAATCTTTTAATGCGAAGAATTCGAAAAGCAGTTTTGGAGTCGCTTTTGCGCTAACGCCCTTCTGCCAGCCAGCTTACGATATCAAGGCTTTGAATAGTATTGTAATTTCTGATATTACATGTACATACTGTTATTTTGTTGCAGTCACTTTGCTACATATGACAAGAACCTGAACATCACAGAAATGAAAGACCAAGAGGTAAGATGATAAGAATTCTACATCTCATAACTTTAGATCTCCATGTACATGTAGTTGCTCAATACTTCCCTTTCATTGTGATGATGATGTTAAATATAGATTGCCATTAATTGAAAGCATCCACTACCTTGGTATTTGGTCTTATCCAAGCTTGAGAAGATATATCGGCTTAATACAATCTTCAGGTATACTCAAATGGGACAAAATAGTTCTGATTTAATGCTAAATATATTACTCATTGCGGATAAAGTAATGAGCCAACGGCCCCGTTGATTGGTTGAGCACCTGTGTGCTTCGGCCAATAGGCCTTGTCCATTATTGTTCTAATTATTTGACCGCCGGTCCACCCGTAGAATATAAAACACGCTTGCTTACAACATATTTTATCACCTGACGAAGTGTTGCAGCGGCACACAAAACGTCGTGAACTCTTAGATCCCTTGCTGACCATACATTGCGAGAAAAACAAATATCACTAGCGATATTATTTTCGATAGTTTGGATTTGTTCAGTAATTATGGTGAAATGGTAAGAGTTGGAAGGGGATGTGGAAGAAGGGGGGAAGTGGTGATAGCTGGATCGCCTTGTCTTGTCCTTATAAACAAGTATAATATAATCTCTGTAACAAAACAAACCCCCAAAAGTTACTATGTAAGTGTTGATGCTTATCAACTTAGAATTAATCTTTCTTATGAATGTAAATATATCTTAAAACCTTCTAGTAACTTTGCAACTGTAATAGAAAAAAGATTGGGCTCGTTAGTTGAATTACATATGTATCTAAAAATACTGTAAAACGCGAATAATGTTTCAAACCCATGAGTTTGAACAGCAGTTTGAAGTATGCTGAGATGCACTATTATTTTTATTTGATCAGTTTATAGATTTGATTTGATTTGATTTGATTTATTGGTTTCTGCAGTAGAATTACACACGACAGGATCAATACTTAGACAATAACATAGTTTTAACCGCCTTCTTAAAAAGAATACAATGTCCAATGGAGGTATAAACAACATTCATGCACTCTTCAGTAATATCTTGCCTCTGTTCCATCTTGCACAGGTGTACCTGAAAGACTACTTTGGCTTGAAGACATTAGATGCTCGCGGGGGGTTGCACACCTATGGTATCGCTGGGGTCATTCATACCTTCTGGCATCGCAACCAGACAGTCTTTGATTGCTGCATTGAGCAGTTCTTGACATAGCAGTGTTTCCCCCTTGGCAATCATTTACCAAAGATTCTTTCACCGAACAGCATGTATACACACATGCATCATGATCTCATATAGTGCCATATTACATATACACATGTAGGTGTAAACTCATCAATCTGATTACAAGATGACTTCATTTCTGCACTACATCTAGCTTAAGATATTTGAAATCTTGATATTGTATGGAAAGAGAAGTATATACTCTTATGTAATGTTGGTTGTAGGGTGTATTTGATAAGGCAAGGCTGTGTATGAGAATGAATGAGCATGTTGACATTTTTAAGCCTACTTATCGAAAGAAGGATTACTAATGAAAGATGTGTTTTGGGCAATCATTCAGCACTATCATGAATGCCATACATATATCTGTCAATGGTCACTTGGCGTGATTCATCAGTTTCGAGATGACATCAAAGAAGTTTGGCATAGGTCATTATAGGCATCTCTGCATCGTGTATGACATTTACCTACCGTAATTCTTTTTACTATTCCATCCCCTAATAAAAATCACTCATTATAACTATCAACTTAGTAATTACCACAATTTTTTTTTTTCATCAATGGTATTTAAAAATGTTTGCCTAGAAGATGTCCAGATGTACATTTTTTTCCTATGCAATATGACCCAAAAGCTGAGATTTCGGAGTAACATATCAGTGAAACTTTGAGAAAATATGATGAAAATTAAGAAAGGTGTACATTTTTAACATTGTGATGGAGTTGTGCATATAGGCATGCTGAAATATTTTCTATTAATATAGGAACAAAATAGTATTTTGAGAAGAGGTAGATAAATTGGATATGCCGCTCTTATAACCATCTGAATCATGGTGATGAAAGGGAAAATTACATGAGGCTTATCATCTGTATTTAAGGGATGTTGAAATCATCTTTAATACATGTACCTTCAAGAGGAAAACGGTATAGGCTTATATATAGTTATATAAACTTTAAGAAGGCATATGATATTATTATCTAACTAAGGCTTTCTAGTGGTACAATAAATCAGTGTATTCAATATCTGTAGCGCAGTAACCGGATGACTGACCAATATTGTTTTCATATTGCTCGGTCATCCAGGAACTTCAACTGTTGATATTGATATTGATGGCGATATCACACGAAAACAGAACCATGTTTACCGAGGTAAGTCAAATTTTGTTATTTCGCTAGTCTAATATAGATAATAATTATAATATTGTATGGCTTTGTTTTTGTATGAAACAAGAATATATTGCTCTTGCTAAATAAAGACAGTATTAGACTCGACTTTGACTTGTCCAATATTGTCATAGCTCGAGCAATATTCTTGTACTACACTCAAGGCCATCCAATATTATATAATGATCTGACAAACCATATCAGATGACTGTGTGAAATACATTCATATTATGCAAAATAATAACTCTTGAAAAGGACCTATCACATGCTTGATGTTACATGAATGTTAGTGCCTCTCACTTGTAAAAAGCTTGAATATATGATGAAATGTGCCATGGTTAAAACATTGGATAGGCAAATTGAGCTGTACATTACAACTCTTGACTGAGTTTAAGCATGTCTAAATATGGCATTGTTGTATAACTCAAAGCTTAGCTTTCTTGTAATGTTTGTTGTTGCATGACTTCATCATACTTATTACGTAGACTGTAGATTTGGGAGTTCATCTGTAAAATCACTTTAAGTGAAATTGAATCACCATTGCTTCATTTATTTTACTGTCCCGACATAACATTGTGCAAAGCTTTCTCACAAAATCAGCCACAAATGTGGACTGTATAATGTACATGTATACTATCAAATGATCAAAAGCTGTAGTCGTAATCCTTGGCTAATACTAAATTCCTGCTCCTACTCCTACTTTCTATTCTATTTCTAGTTGAATATATAGTTGTGACTTTTTGATCACAATGCTGATGAATTGATATGTATCATTTTTCATCCAGATAAGATTGATATAACTGATGAGATGACATTTGACCTGACATTTAACCTCTTATTTTATCACTGTGCCATATTGAAAATTGATTTGTTTGAAGGTAGTTTTATTTTAACGGGTTGTTTAATCACCACCTAGCTCTAGTTGCTGCATTGCATGAAAGTTTTAATGATAGAGGATCTTGTGTCATAATTCATGAATTCTGCATGTATGTTTTTTTTTATCAGATGTGTAAATAGTTGTTAGATCTAATTATTTGATTTTATTCTCACCTATGACATGGTTTTACATCAAAAGACCCATATTACAATGTTGCCAATCTAATGTTATACTTGTAATACAATGAAATGTGTTCATGGATGTATTTAACATACAACTGTGAATAAATATATCTTGAAAAGAAACTTTGAGAGATGCACAGATTGACACAGATTAGTAATCTGTCAAAAAGAAAAAGAAGAAAAAATGAGGGGGGGGGGGGGAATTGACAGTCAAATAGTATGCTTTGAGAGGAATTGTCAAATCAATTAATGGAACCCATGTGTGTTGACTATTGGAAGTTTCTATGAGATTGGAAAGGAAATATTGTTGTAAAATATAGTGTGTAGATGGTTCAACTAAGATGAATATATACCGGTATTTACTAAACCAACCCTCACCCGAACATGTTTATTTTGATATAACCTTAGCTGGGGAGATGGAAATGGACAATCTTTTCAGTATTCTATTATGTTCCAATTTCTTTCTCTTTTAAATGTCTGTGTGTTTACTTTTTATAATTTGTAAAAGTTTATTTCCTTCATTTTATATATGATTCCATCGAATCACAAGTAGAAGGAAAAAACAAATCATTTTGTTATTCATATGTTTGCTGTGTTTGCTGCATTTATTGATTTTAGTACTTCATCAACATATGTGTATTAGAGGGTGTTAATTTGCTGAATAATAGTGAATATTATATTAAAAGAGTGCAATGCAGACAACACTGAAAATCACTGTAGGTGAAGATATTTTGAATGGATGAATCCTAGTGGTTCTAGCACAAACACACCTGACCATATTTTGATTGCACAAGTTTGTGAATTTCAGAAATTTGAGTAGATTGCACGCAAGAAAGTGTATCTTACATTAAACTTAAAGACGGGTCATAGCAGTGCTGTGCTTTATTTTCACAGATAGTCACTGAGATTGCTTTTATTCACAGTGTTCTCTATTAAAGCTATCCATGTTAAGACTATGCAGTCCATGTATGATGAGACATAGTATGTCTCTGATAATGGTCATCACTGAATGATGTGCTATATAGCAGCATTATGTACATGTCTTACACATGTTTTGCAATACAGTAAATTGCATTAATATGGCAAATTTAAATTAATAAATACATTTTATAAAGCAATGTGTGTGTACAACTGTGTTTCATTGAATTATTTAATTGTGTTCTATTCATTCAATGTTATGAGCTCTATTTCATTAAAAGTTTAGGGCTAGGGTTGCAAATAAGTTGTAGTATATTCAGGGCTGTCAACTTTGGGGAACTGCTTTGAGGGAGATCATCAGTGCAATTTTCTTTGCAATTTGGCTTTGGAGGGTGGGGAGTAAAAAAATTGAAGTGCTCACTAATTTAAATGTTAGTGTAATATGCGCCCTTGCAAAATTGGCTGACTGCATGTTTTATCGGTCGCTCTGCCTCTGATAAACATCTTTTGTTCTGCCTGGCCCTGGGGAAAAAAGTTATTGTGAAAAATGAGAAAATTAAGCTACACCAATTTGTTCAAACTCACCATGTTATATACATACTGACTATAGAATCATGTACAATTTTGGAATCCAAAAAAGGCTGATAGCATGTTGCCAATTTAATAGCTATATAAAAGTATGGCACGCAGAGTACATGTTGCTAAAAGAAATTCATCTTCATCAATAAAGTTAAAGGATACAATTTTAGTTTTACAGAAGAAGAAGAAAAGAATGTGGACTCTGCTGATTTCCAGCAAGCCAATGTGCACTGTGGTGCTAGCATGTATCTTTTAATTGCCCTTTGAAAATTAAGTCTATTCCTGATCTGCCTTTAGAAAAGATGCTGATTTGCAAAAGTGGGTCCACAGAATTTTTTCAAGGACAATTGACACCCTAGCGCCAGCATGGTCTGCACTCATAGACACTCACTGTGTACACTACTTTGAATCACCACTTTTAATCACTACTTTTATAAAGATGTATTCATATCTACTTCAAGCTTAACTGATAATAGAAAATAATACGTTGACTCTTGTTGCAACATGTTTATCTTGGCCTATATGGTAAGTTTGATGTCATTTTGAAAGCTTGATAGCTCTCTTCACATGTGACAATGCCCAAAGTCTATTATGCAGTTAAATGTTATATGAAGTACTGACAAGCAAGGTTAGTACTTCCTTTATTCTACCTTCATCAGGTGCATCCTGGTACAAACATCACAATCCCAAATGTCTACAGTTACAAAAGCAGTCTAGAACATAGTGTGAAAATTGTCTGCTTCTCAGTTCTGTGTGTGCAGGTGTGTGTGTGTGTGTGTGTGTGTGTGTGTGTCTCTCTCTCACACACATTTATTATCTCTCTCTATCTCTATCTCTATAAAGTCTAACCATAGACGTAATATTATATCTATTACGTCTATGCTCTAACTCTCTATACTCTCAATCCATCCATCTTTCGCTTTATTTTCCTATTCATAAGTCCAACTTACGGTATCCTTTAATCAGTGGCTGGTGTTTTGCTGCCTTACACTTGCTGCCTTACACTGGGCGAAGAATGTCAACCGTGAGCTAAAAAATTGGCCTGACGCGGCTTACCCGTGGGAGCGCTATTGTGAATCCATCCTATTAAGATTTGAGCCGTGATACTTCTCCTGTTATTTTATTATTATATTTAAAATTTGGCATTATTTAGAAACCTGTAAAAATCTGCCCCATTTGCAATGATTATGTATTCTTGGAATGTGTAGGCTATGTCACAAATTAAATATGGCAAAGTGTATTATCATTATCAACATTGGATTGTCGATGTTCAACGCAAAACATTATCTAGCAGTTTTCATCTTCGAAACAAAACGTCAATTACACTTCACCACCTCAACATAACACAAAACATGTATCCACTCATAATTCATTCCGTTTAATAATAATAATAGCTCACATTTATAATGCGCCTAATACTTTGTTTCTAGGCGCAGCACATATTACTACCCTGGTCATCGGATTCAGGCTTACCCGCAACACTGACAATGTATGCACATTTTCCACTCCCTGGGGAGCATTCCAGCCAGTCACCATTGTACAAGTGCCACTTGCTAATCTAACCACATTAACTTTCGCATCTTACCGGGTACCCATTTAACACCTACAACTGTAGGTGGAGATCGAGTGGCAAATGTAGACAGATAAATAGATAGATAGATAAATGGTGTTTATTGATTCATTTCCATGTATTGCAGTTACAAGTAACTGAATTGCGCATTAATAAAACATTGATGGTGAAGACAATTATACATTTACATTTTAAGAGATATCACAATAACAAATAATTGAATTGCACATGAATAAATTGCTGGGAAAAAAATATATCACACTATGAAACACTTATGAAAAGCGTGTATATGTATCCTTTATACCACTCTTATACAATATTTCAATTTAAAAATTTGAGTTAAAAAAGAAAGAGAGATAAAAAGATTCAGAGAGATGGAAAAACAGGAGAGAGAGAAAGAGAGAGAGAGAGAGAGGGGCGGGAAGAAAGGGGACAGATAGAAAGAGAGGGAAAACAACTATGTACATGCTGATAAAATACAAAGATACATTGCAAAACAAATATAAATATTATAAGGTGAACACTAGAAATATATAAATATAAATATAAATATAAATATGCATCGCATACTTCATGTCATAAATAATACATTGACTAACTTTGTAAAAAATTAGACCTCAGATTTATGAATTAATTATATACTAAGGAATATGAAATTGTAATAAAAAAAGAAATTTGACAATTTAATTTGTTTCAAAGTATAATACAATCATAACAAACTTTTGTTATACAAACGGATCAAATCTGGGACTGGGCTATTCTGCATATGTTTAGTTTTGCACCTGGGTTCAGGGATCTTGTTAGTCCTTCGCAAAGTTCTATAGTGTGCTCTTTGAGGTATACCAGTAAATTGTTTGAATTGGTCTGTGCATGAGTTTTCTTAAAGAAGGTAATAAGGTCATTTTGACGACTTTTCAATGTTTGTAATTTCGATTGAGTAAGAGCGTTTGCATAGCTATGGTAATCCTTTCTAAAGATAATCCTCAAAGCGCATTTTATAAATCTTTCTATGCGTTGTTTTTGTACACCAGTGAGGCCTCCGCTCCAAACTTGAGTTGCATATTCAAGGATTGGGCGAATATAGCTAATGAAAATAGTAATTAGATCATCATGTGAAAGGCTTAACTTCCCTAAAGAACGGAGAATATATAGTTTTGTATTCGCTCTTTTTTCAATATCTGTGACATGGGCTTCCCACTTCAGATCAATGTCTTGCCAAAGGACACAGTCCGGTGACATATCCGCTCGAATGAAAGGCGCAACACAAATGGCAGGTGAAAGAGTTGCATGGCGTACTCTCGTGAAGACCAAAGCAGCGCTTTACATCACCACCTGAAGTTGATGATGATGATGTTAGTCAAGTAATGAAAAAATGTATTCATTTTCTCTCTCCAACAAATTATTCAATATTATGACAAATATATACATTGATTTGAGAAAAAATTTTGACGAGAAATTAATAGGAAAATGTGGAGGGGCCTGCTAAGAAACTTAAAGCCGTAAGACTTTGCGACCATGCTCTCAGCAACTCCTGCAGCACCCCAGCATTTCTGGCTTCCGGACCCAAACGGCTCAGTCACCCATGGTTAGCGGGCGTATCTTCATCTCGCTTCCCTTAAGGAATTTCATGGGGTTCCACACCATGTAATATCGGTTAGGAGCAAGAACGCTGACGTCCAAGTACTGGTAGATCCCGTTAAGGTCGCAAATGCGACACTCACTAAACCACCACCCGGATAAATAATAGCCGGCGCAATTTAACATGGACGCATCGTTGTCTCGGTCTCTGGTACTGAATTGATGTCCGCGGTGAGCAGCAAGACTATCTCCTGCACGATAATGGATTCAATTTATTTTAGTTTATTAAGTATTTATATTTTATATTATTTTAAGTATTTATATATATACATAACATGATTATTTAAACAAAAAATATCCCCAAGGCAACTTGGTCCCATATGACTTATCTTTATTTATTTTTTAATTAATTCATCAAAAAATTAAAAACTTTTGTTTATGACCATTTCAAAATGTGAGTGATACCAGAAAGGACTATTGATTGATTGATGGTTTTATCAAGAGTTATTTAGATTTTGTTTAAATACATGGCTAAATTGGACTCATTGCATGGAATCACCTCCCCGCAATAACCCCAAGAAGAGTACTCCCCCCCCCCCCCTGGTCCATGTATGAAGCCAGGGACAAGAGTCATAATTGCGAGAAAAGTACCTGCACCTCCGCCAGAATAATCACCTAGCTTCAGATCATAATTCATGGTCTCGTTGCCAATCATGAACTTGCGGTATCTGGCATGGCTGGTCCTCCCAGAGAAATCTTCAATATCGACCCATAGTTCATACGTCTTCTGGCTCGTCAGGCGATGAATCTTATCGTTTCCAAGCCAGTGTTCCCCGGAAACGCTCCCGAAGCCCTTCTTGTAGTGTAACCAATTACCACTGAAACTAACAGAACCGTCCTTTCTTCTTTGGAAGACCTATGGTCAGGAGTGTATAGAGTGTGGATGATAAACACTTTCTAAATAATCCAATCATTTATACTTGATTCTTTTTGGCTTTGGTTTTGGTTCAGTGTTATTTGTTTATTTGTTGTTGTTTTTTGTGTGGAAAATACGCAAATGTTGATGAAATAACACAATGAGAGAAGCTATACTGCATGTCAGTTATTTCCTAGCACTATACAAATAAGTTTTTGTGTAATTTTCAAGATCCCCCCCCCCCCCCACATATCTAATTAGATATTTACACCCCCGTCATTACAATTAAAATAATGCATTAGAAGGTGCTTCTTTGGGCTTACTATGTTCATTCTTATCAAGTTTTAGAAATGTAAAAACTCAGAAGTAATAAAATCAAGTTTTGAGCTCTTAAAAATGCTTTTAACATGCTTAAGAATTATCAGGAGTTTCTAACTTTGTCTTTGAAATGCATTCAAGTCAAGTTTTAAAAGCACTTTATTTACGACAGAGGGAAATACGAGGGAATCAAAACTCATAATAGCTGACTGATCAGTTTGAGAGCAAAGTGAAAAATGAATATTTAGAGGCAATAGAACTTGTTAATTGAAACATAAAAAAGGAAGATGGGGTTTTGATGTTGATAATACTTATAGTTATGATGCAGAGTGGCATATAAATGGATACATTCAGTATTAAAGATAATGAAACCTTTCCAAAAGTGTTACGTCACAGTGGCATTGACTGGTACGTAGCTTTTGAGATGTCGAAGAAGGGGGAATCAGTGTGTACCCCCCCCCCCCCCCTCCATCATCTCCAGTACCCCTTAGAACGCACTCATTTTTTTCTAGACATCTAGGAAGAAGAGATCCGTGATAAATTGGCTCTAACTAGAGCGATCCAGGCGTCTTTTCAATAACTGATTTGTATGTTATTCATACATGGATATGTATAATTTTTAATAAAATAAACCAACACATCTTTCAACTTGGAAAGGAGGAAAATAATGGTTTCTTATACAGGGCACATATCGATCACGACGTGACCACTCTGTCGCTCCAACTCAAAATAGCCTATGTAGCGCTCTAGCTAGCATATCAGGTAGCGATTTACACCTGGGTTAAGAGTAGCGAACCATGGATTTTATTGCCAAAGGACCTTAGAGTTGAGCTGGGATTTGAACCCAGGACTCACCGTCCAACCACCACCAGCGGTGTCCATGTCGCAGTAGACGTTGAACGGTCTTCCGACTCCTCCAGGATGTATGCCATAGATTCCACTCAAATTCACCCCACTTGCCTTGATGTCACCACAGTCCTGTGGCTCCCCAGGAAACACTTCAGGAGAGCTTCTCAAATCTTTTTGTCGCGATAATAATCAAAAGTAGGAAGAAACTCTCACAAATACACTGGGTCGGGGATCCCGGGGGAGGGGGGGGGGTGGGGGGGACACGACCCCCCCTCAATTTTATCAGGGTGGTAGTCCCCCCCCCCCCCCTCAGAAAATTTGAAAAAGTGCCCCCCAAAATACTGACTAAAGATAGCAACACACTTTTATGCTCTGGAGGGCCCAAGAGTGCAGCTTTTGGACTAATAAGAATGCAAACAAATCTTCTCACTCGGTTGCAAGCTCCCTCGCATAATATCCTTCAAAATGTACAAGTAAATATTTCAGAAAATCTGTATCACCGTGAACCAATGGAATACAGATTTTCCCTCGCATTTTACCCCCCCCCCCCCACCCTCCCCCGGTAATCATTGTGAATTGCATTATGTTCTATGCAATAGATGCGGCGAAAATATAAGCTATATTATAATGAGAAATTGTATTGTGTCATTATTTATTTTATTATTACTTAGAAGCCTACATGCTAAATGGAAAAATGTTCATGCATATTTAACATTTTTGGTTCTTTAATAAGCTTGTGCAGAACGAAATTAACCGAGGTGGTTTTGGGGTCTCTGTTTTATTTTTGTTGCTGTTGTTTTATCAATATTATCTTTATTTACCAATCTTTATCGATCAGTAAAGTTCTGAGAAGATATGAACTTTATTTATTGAGATTATATCATATTGTTACAGTCATTTCATCAAAAAATGTAAGAATTTTTTTATTTCAACTTTACGGGCAGCCGTTTATGTTAACCAATATTGCAAAGTAAAACGCATAGGGAATTAGATTATAATGTGGTATGATTCAACGTTGTTACTGCAATTATTTCAATATCAAATCAAGCAATATCAATTATTAGATAAAATCTTGTCAGGGTATATCATAGATGGAAGACCCCACTATTGGTGAAAATGACCAACCAAGTATAGAAATGATAAATTTCATAAATAAATGAGTCAATATTAGGTCTTAAATTAAATTGATATCACCCATGTTGAATTACCAAAAGGATTCATTTTCATACCGGCTGTGCAGTGTTTACGTTGAACCGGGTGAGACCCGCTCCCGGGCTTCCCAAAGGAGCGTTTGCCGTCAACACGGTATGTGGTCTTCTGTTCAACATCTTTTCCGTCCAATACGACTGGTTTGCAACTATCACTACCATGTCCAAGCGAGCCCGGCGATTCGAGCGCTGAAACTTGATACGAATAGGAACATAGGCTAGATATTAAACCTCAGTCACATCAAAGAGACGACATCACACTGACTACACACCAAACAAAATAATAATTTTGACCCCAATGGTCGAAAATCAGCCGGTGGGGAGTTAGTCTGGGGTCGGTCTGGGGTCGGTTTGGGGTCGGTTTGGCAGTTTGAATTAGGTATTAAGAGCATAACGAAAATTGATGATAATTTTTGGAACACACATTTTCTGTGCCGGTGTCACATTTATCTGACAAAATAACTCAAGGTATTTTCAATCACACATAATACCACCAAGAAATAGCTGGCAGTCAATTTAAATCACTATTATAGACCATCATTCTAAATACCTATTTAATATATAACGAGGAAGCAATCCTGTTTACTTGAAAGTGAAATATATATATATATATTATATAGCTACGGTATAGGTATAGGTATAGGTATTTGATTCCATTCTTCATTAAAAAAAACATATATAAAATACATGAAAAGTATACAAAATTTGAAACACGTAAATACATGTAAAAGAGTAACATGACAGATAATAAGAATACAATAACATTAACAAGTAAATAAGTTCAGAAAGCAAATTTCTATCGAATGAGGGGTCAACAAAAAGAGCAGTTAGCCTTGTTGAACGTTGATCTCTAGAGAAAGTTCATATTTAACAGCACATTAAAAAGAAAAAGAATGCAGGTGGAAACAGTAGAAAGAAAAAGGAAAACGTAATACAGACAAAAAATGTATACAATTATATACGTCATAAATCAAATATGATATTCAAATTGCAGAGTACAAATTTAATAAAAACGATCGAAAGGAACTTTCAAAACTATTTACATGTACAGAAGGTTGATTCTTTAGATGGCTCGGAATAATAGTGCTCCATATAGATGAGGACCTTTTTTTTAAAAATGTATCCTTTAAAATATTAGTTCTAACTTTTTGCAGATGGTATTCTACAGCATTACATGTACTTTAATTATATATGTTACTATTTAAAACAAATTGTGATGTAATTAAAGATGATAATAAGCCTCTAGAACACAGAAACATAAATATTGCAATATTCAATATCATAAACGTTTAGGAGATATAACTAGGATATATAACATTGGCAAGGTATGAGCTTTATATGGTGAATTATAAATTATTCTTAGGCTTTTTTCTGCAAAACAAATAATTGAGTAATAAAGTAATCATGACTGTTTGACCAAGCAATATTACAATAATTGACATTGGAGAAAATTAATGCATGATATAACATAACTACAATAGGTATTGTAAAATGTCTCATATATATAGCCACTGCTTTTTAGAAAATTGAAAATTTTGTGTGGATTCTTGGTCACATCATTCATTTTTTTTTTTTTTTTTAGTAAAATGAATTTATTGATAAATATATGCTTTTGAACAAATCAAACAATCATACACAATCGATTGAAATAACATTGTAGCATCTTAACATAGTTCAAGTAAAACATGTTTTGTTTTCTTGAATAACAGTGTTTTCAAAAATGCATAGCTTTTTTGTTTTACAGTACTTTTCGATCTTTAATCGGTTGTGGATTAATCTTTTGAAAATACAAAAAATAGAGACTTCATGAAACATGAGTTTGCCATTTTCTGCTTGCATAAATGTTAAATAAACTGCGTATTTTGCATATATGATAAGAAAATTTAAACTTAAATATTTTGTTTTTCAAGTTATAACCTTCAATTAAAACGAACTTGTCATATCATTCAGGACATTCAATGAATTAAAGGGTTTGGGGTTTCATAAGAATGGGTAATGAATTTTCTAAAAATTTGTTTACATCATTTTGTGATATGGTTGACCAATAACAGATAATTGAAAAGTAACCATTGTTTATGTTTTGGTAAAATCTTGAACAAGTAAAACCCCTTTGGCATAATGAGAATATACTTACATGGCGTCATCACTGCCAAAGCACAGACAATTGTTGTAAGAGCGCTGCATCCGAATCTTCTTTCCATGGCCAAAGATTATTATGCTATGATAGAGAATAAGACCAAGTATAGATAATGATAATAGCTTGTTCTTATATAGCGCTTTTCAGTACCGGATGAACCCCTAAAGTAGTAAAATATTGTCAGGCGTCAAACACGCATTTTGTACATGTAGTAAAATATTGTCAGATGCTAAAAAATGCATTACCGGTATACACACTTTTTATGATCTTCCCTCTGATTAATGGGTATGAATTAAAAGAAGTAAAAAAAAAAAAAAAACATAAAAAAGTGGTATGATGAGATTAAGAAGGGTAAAGAGGGAAAGAGGAAAATAATATGTGAGATGTTGATTAGGCAGTTGAATTTCATGGATCGCATTACACGACTGGCTTCTTTTCTTCTTTGGTAATAACATACATAACATTTTTATTTTCCCACTTAAAGACATTTTCACCCCTTTTTTTTTTAGGGAAGTTCTAAATTTTTCAAATGCGGGCATTAGAATTTAACCTTTTCATTTTTGTCTCGCCTGCGTAGCAAAAAAGCAAGACATAGGCGCCGCTTTTCCGGTGACGGCGGCGGCGGCGGCGTCAACATCAAAAACTTAACCTTAGGTTAAGTTTTTGAATTTTTGATATAATTTTGAAAGTATAAGTTCTTAGTCAATGAAACTTGGACTATAGGGTTATCAAGTATCCCCAATCATGTGAGTAGAATTTCAGGTCACAAAGTCAAGGTCAAAGGTCATTTCAGGTCAACAGACTTGGACTATGTTGTGGCATCATCATCGAAAACTTAACCTAAGGTTAAGTTTTTGAATTTTTGATATAATTTTTAAAGTTTAAGTTCTTAGTCAATGAAACTTGGACTATAGGGTTATCAAGTATCCCCAATCATGTGAGTAGTATTTCAGGTCACTAAGTTAAGGTCAAAGGTCATTTTAGGTCAACAAACTTAGACTTTGTTGTGGCATCAACATCAAGATTTTGAATTTTTTAGCATATTTTCAAAATTGATTGTTCAATTTCCATGAAACTTGTACCCAAGGGTTATCAAGTATCACAAATCATATGACACAAATTCCAGGTCACAAGGTCAAAGGTCAGTAGACTTGGATTATGTTTTCACAACTTAATATGAGAATTAATAATTTTTTTTATTAATTTGTTCATATATTTCATTCAAGTTATCGATCGTGGTACATTTAATAGTAAATAATTCTTCTGATGATTCTTAGGCAATATTCACTTCAAAATGTGATTATATTTAGAGGATTTCATTTTGGGGGGCCTGCTAATGGGCCACCCTGCCTATGCATAATGTTCCAACCTCAGTTTGTCATCATATCGAATTGCGTAATGCAGGCGAGACCGCCGAGAGCGTTTCCCTTGTTTTGGCTTGCAAATGGGACATAGTACCTTTCAGACGGCCTAGAGAGCCTTGCTTTGACATGTAAAATTGTGGGAAGGAGGAGTAGGGGGAGAAGAAGGATACTGTGGATGGACAGTCTGCAGGAATTGTTAGAAGAGAGAGGAGTGAAAGAACTAGGAGTGGTGCTAAAAGAGAAGGCTAGAAACCAAGGGTTGTGGAACAGCATGATCGTCAAAGTCAATCGATATGGCAATTAAAAACAGAGACACCCTCTTTATGATTTTCCCTCTGGTGTATGGTCATGAGTTAAAAATGAAAACAAACAAAATCAGAGAATATTCAGTGCAAAATACATGAAAATGATAAAAGTGATATATGGTGATATTACGATGAGCTTGTAGTGACCAAACTCGTTTTTACCTTTTCAAAACTTGTTTTTTCATTTAAGAACACCTTACAGCATTTTGGGTGTGTCTAATTTAAAGAGAAGGTTGAGTTCTGGGAAGAACATCAGATTAAACATGTTCCCTGAAAAGCATGGCTCTTCAAATGCCTTCATATTCTAAATATGACATGAAGCATCGTAAAAATCGGGGGGTAGGTTTTTTCGCCATGTGCTCGTGTAGTCCCATATACATCATTCTGTGTACATTGCTTGTAACTTTGCCAAGATTTGGCCAAATTTCTTATCATTTTGATGATTCCAGAACCTTGCAATACACACGAATACTTATATACTAGATGATCAACCTTTTCTGATAGATTCCACACCGTTTCGTTCACAATGCAATCACATGACCAGAACTCAACTTTATCTTTAAACATACGTGTCAGACCCGAAGCTTAATGACTTTAATGGTCACGTGGGTCTGGTGCATAGGCGCCGGAAGTGGGGGGGCAGGGGGGGGCAGTTGCCCCCCCAGTCAAAAAAGTGGGGGGCAAAACGCATTTTTGCCCCCCCAAAACGCCCCCCCCCTCCAAAAAAAAAAAAAAAAGCAGTAAAGGAATAAACATGGTTTGTATTTTTAACCCAAAAGAACATAACAATAATAAAAACCTGAATTAAAGCACATATACCATTGCATTCAAAGAAAAGGAAAGTTCACAGGAATTAAATTTTTATAAACATTGCGCATGCTACCTATACGGTTTATAATAGCGATACGCGCATATCGTGGACATATTGTGCGAGAATGGGAAAACGTGTCTGTTTTTTTGGTTTTGTTATAGGGGTGAGAAGACATGAGCCCCTGAACGCTGGCGTACTGATGGGGGGGGGGGGGTATATCTATACGATACCAGTGATTTACACATGTTGCTGTTATGACATGATTTTCCGGTATTTTTTCTCCATTTTTTTTAAAGTCATACCTTTTTATGCGTTTGTTGGAAAATAAGAAATTCCCAAATTACAGTCGGGCGAAAAATACGCTTATTTAGAAGCCTTTATGACATGGTCTGCAAAGTGGCTGGGCTCGAGCCCCTCCCCTCTCACTTTTTGAAAAAGTATGTTAAAGAGAAAAAGAAAGAAAGACGGAGAGAAAAAATAAGTGACCTGCCAATGTCACAAAT